TATCAAAGCGACTACTCGTTAAACGGAATTGCTTTTATGGCGTTTGATATCAAATTCGAGTCGAATCGTGAAACGGAATCCCACCCCAGTATTGAAATATACAGTACATTTGAAAATTTTATGACACGTACATTTTCAAAGTAATATAAATACTGAAAATCCTAATTTTGAAAGTGACCTAAGTCCATTTTTTATTGACGATGTCAAAAAGTGCGGCCCAAAATGTTGAAAGCAGTGATGAAGGTAATTTAAATTACGTTTTGATATTAAATTGAAATTTAAAAAATAATATTTAATTTAAAGAAATTATTAAACCCATGGGAAAGAATAAAATAACAAGATTTCTTGATTCTGAAAGTGAAGGGGAATTAAACTCATACAACAGATTTAAAAAAAGAAGGAGAATTTTAGAAGTTCATTCTTCAACAGAGGAAGAGGAAGTAATTGAGAACGAGAATTTACAAAACAGCACCTTCAAAGAAGGATTCAGAGAACACAGAAGTGGTACATATATTCAGAAAATTTGTAAAATTAAACGGAATTCAGGGAAAAGATACAAATGCTTAAACTATGTTTTCCAGTTATAGGTGACTACATCACTCATACTATTAACTGTTGTCTTGAGATAGGATTCTTTCCTAATTCTTGGAAAGAAGCTTTAGTGTCGCCACTTTCTAAAGTATCCAATCCTGAATCATGCAATGATCTACGTCCTATCAGCTTATTATGTATACTTTCAAAAATATTAGAAAAAGTTGTCTATCTTCAGTTAAATGATTACGTAAACAGTTCCAAATTGATAGTTGGTGATCAATCCGGATTCAGAAGTGGTCATAGTACAGTAACAGCCCTAACAAGAGTTTGTGATGACATTATCGGTTCATTTGATAAAAATATGTCAACTGTATTAGTTCTTTTAGATTTTAGTAAAGCTTTTGATACGATTAATCACAAACTTCTTATATCTAAATGCAAATATCTTGGATTTGATAATATGGCTCTTAATTTCTTCAAATGCTACCTTACAGACCGAAAACAGAGAGTCGTTATTGGTGGTAAATGTTCCAAATTAAAATCTATTTGCTCTGGCGTCCCACAGGGCTCTGTGCTAGGACCCCTTCTCTTCCTATTATACACGTTTGATATGACTAAATATTTACAATTTTGCAAAAAACAGTTATTTGCAGACGACACTCAATTATATTTTCATTTTAATCCTTCCGAATATGAAATAGCTAATGTCCGCATAAATCAAGATTTGCATAAAATAAGCGAATATGTGAAAGGGCATGGTTTGAAATTAAATGCTAAAAAATCAAAATCTTTGTTGTTTTCTCCAAAAATATATAAGAATATGCTTAAATCGGACATGCAGATTAGGGCAAATGGTGAACAAATAAAATTTTCTCCTTGTGAAAAGAATTTGGGTTTGTATTTAGATGAAAATTTAAAATTTGTTGAACATGTTTCTCAAGTGTCAAAAAATTGTTATTTTCGTCTAAGACTCTTATATGCAAGTAAACAATATTTAACATTTAACATGAAAAAAACCCTATGTGAAAGCTTGGTAATCTCTAAAATAACATACTGCATCTCTGTATACTATCCTTGTCTCGACAGGGCTACTGCAAACCGTTTACAAAAAATACAAAATTCGTGTTGTCGGCTTGTTTGTAACAAAAGAAAATATGACCACATATCACCTTACATTATTTCATTAAAATGGTTGAAAATGGATTCTTTGTTCAAATTTCTTTTCTTATTATTTTTAAGCAATTTATTAAAAGCTAATTCACCATTATATTTAAGAGAACGGATTACGTCTAGGATTGACGCACATGCCTTAAATTTGCGAAATCGCCATACTATCGCCATGCCACGAAATAGAACTGCCATGTTTCAACGGTCATTTAGCTATAATGTCGCTAAAGTATACAATTCACTAAATATACACTTAAAATCATATTTGAGTACTAGTTCATTTAAAATAATGTTAAAATCATATTTTCTTGGTAGCCAAGCAAATGAAAATATTTAATTCATATTCTATTTTATTTATTTTATTTGTTTTATTTAATTCTTGTTCTTAATTTAGATTTGAATTCATCCGTAGACATTCAGCGTAATGTAGAGTAGGTTAGGTTTAAGTTAGTTTTAGGATTTGTGATATGGTTAAGTTGAATGGCCATTTGGCTAGACTACGCCATTTATACTTTGTAAATGTTGTTTTGCTGGTATAATAAAGACGTTTATTATTATTATTATTATTATTATTATACACAATCGGGAAAAATTATTCCTGCCAAAGTTTTTCAAAATGAAGATGCCAATGCCGAAAAGACTGCTTAAAAAATTTAAATGAAACAGAAAGAAAACGTATTTTTAAAATGTTTTGGAACTTAGGAGACTTTAATAAGCAAAATATATTGCTATACGAAGCGACCGGACGCAGTGTTGTAAAAAGAAGACGTCAGATAAACGGAAAAGGTTTATGTAGAAATGAGAGTTTTACGTATTGGTTAAATTATAAAACAGGCAAAGTTGCTGTTTGTAAAAAATTCTTTTTAGATACTTTTCAAATAAGCGAAGGACGATTGAAACGCGTATTAAAATCTAAACGTTGGCAACGATTTACGTGGGCGTTTGCCTGGATCGTCGAGAAAAATATGTGATGAAGCAAATATGATTGTTCAAAACCATATTAACAGTTTCCCGAAATTTGAATCCCATTATACTAGGGACCATAATCCCGATAGAAAATATCTTCATCCTGAACTGACTATAAAAAAATGTTTAATTTTTATGAGCTTCACTGTGAAGAAAATAATTTAAAAGCAGTTAATGAATGGACTTATAGAAACATATTCAAAAAGGATTTTAATCTACATTTCCACCAACCACGCAGAGACACATGTCAAAGATGTGATCTATTAAACATTAAAGTGAAAGCATCAGAAAACCATGAAGAACAGAAAAAAACTTATGGAAGAACATGATATTCATTTGAAGCTAGCAGAATCGGCTAGAAATGCGTTAAAACAAGATCAAGAGCGAGTATCAAGTAATCCATCTCATTATTTTGCAGAAAGCGTTACCATTCCCAAAGTTAACTACTTCAGTAGCTTATTATAAATGTAACATGTATATTTTAAATTTAGGCATATACAATTTCCACAACGATAATGTATACATGTACGTTTGGGATGAAACAAAAGCTTCTAGAGGTTCCCAAGAAGTGGCTTGATGCCTCTTGAGACACCTAAAAACCCTGAAAGGTGAAAAACACATCATTGCATATAGTGACATGTGTGGAGGACAAAACAGAAACATCAAAATATCTTTAATGTGGTTAAAAATTCTATCGATGGGAAATGATGTGGAACTCATTGACCACAAATTTTTAATATCAGGGCATTCATTTTTACCTAATGACAGAGATTTTGGCGTTATAGATATGTCGTTAAAAAGAAACCAGTTATTGTATGTGCCACAAGATTATTATAATATAATTAAAAAATGTAGAAAAGGTAATACTTTCATACTAAATGAAACAAGAGGATTTTATATCAACTCTTGGAAGAAGCAGTTTACAAAAGATCCAAAAAAACCAACGGAGAAAAAATAAACTGGCTTCAAATATGCTGGATGCGATTTTTAAGAAATGAACCATATAAAATTTTATACAAAACAACTATGGATGAGAACGCAGAATTTAAAATTCTTGATTTATTGCCACGTCGGGGTAGACCTAAAAAATTTGGGAATATTGTATTGCCATCGTTATATAAAAGTATAAGAAGCATCACATCACTAAAATACTGACACATGATGGACTTATTGCGGTATATACCTCCGGAACACCATAACTATTTCAAATCACTCCCGCATACTGAGAATGTTAACGAATAACTTGTTACTAAATTTATTTCTATTATCTAAAAATATAATTTAGATGTTTTTTTTTTCTATTTTTTAAGCTATATGTAACGGACTTAAGCTTTTTCACTTTTTGTAACAAAACAAATTTTTATTTTGAAAGTGACCTGTCCTTTTAAGGTAAGCAAGGTCATATTATACACTTAATAATAGCGACTTTTTTATAGGATGTATAAAATTAAATCCCTTAAGGTAGTTCACTCGCGACAGTCGCACATAAAAATATCGCTTAATGGTGAATACCAATAGTTCGAGATTCTCAATGCTAATCAATTTTATTTTTGTAAGAGACTGTACAAAACACATGAAAATCCATCCGGCAACCTCATAAATACATGAATGGTTTGCTATAGAAATTTGTGACTTCCTCATATTAATTTTAAAGGTTTGTTTTGGTTCAAACAGAATCACTGATTCCAGTTCTCAAATACAGTGGACGAATTAATTTTTCAAGTAAACGTCGCGAGGTTATAACATCCTCTTAGCTGATCGAGTGTTAGTTTGGTACAACGCGTTGATTGCAGCGTATACAACGTTGCCAAGTTGTAATAATTTTACCAACTACGCGTCGATTGCTTTAAAAATATTTTTATTTTAAAAATCTATCTTTTTACTAAGGTCAAAAAATTCAGCGTTTCTTTAGAAAATTTTATACCTTCTTGATTTACATTACATTAGTTTTTAAAAAATATGGTAAGAACAGTTTTCGAGATATCTGGAAATAAATGCATTACTTGTGGACATGCGAGGCTTCAATAGTGTTAATTATGCACATTTTGATTGTTAATATCTCGTTTCACAGACGGTCAAAAAATTTAATTTTTTTTATTTACATAAAAGACACTTTCATTAACCTTATATTTCAATTTTACGAGTGAACTACCTTAAATGCGATTTAACATTGCAAGTCAACCATATATCTTACGTATATTATTAATTTTGTAAAAACGCAAAACCTTAAGTATTTCAAATTAAAGATAAATGGACTAAAGTCACTTTCAAAATGAACGGCTCATTTATTATGCTGTAAGTCGTTATTTACGTGTACTTTTTGATGTTTACAGTTTGTGATGTACGTCAGAAATCTAGAAGAAGAAGGATTGTACACCTTGATATTTCACAACTGCCCTGGCTATCACAACCAAGAGACGCACGTCGATTTCAACATAAAAATAGTCGAACAAAACCCGAGCAGTTTTCTTTCGGCCGGCGATATGCCATTACCCGCCCTCTATTGCATGATGTCGATACTATTTTTGCTATCTGGCATGTTTTGGGTGTTTTTGTTGAAGCAATCCAAGCACCCCGTCTTCAACATCCACTACATGATGGCTGTGCTGGTGTTTTTGAAGGCCATATCTTTGGCTTTTCATGGTGTCAACTACCACTACATTGAACGACTGGGAGTACATTTAGCTACATGGGCTATACTGTTTTACATAGCTCATTTACTGAAAGGGGCGCTGTTGTTTGTTGTTTTGGTACTGGTGGGAACTGGCTGGACTTTCGTGAAACACGTGCTGTCGCCCAGAGATAAGAAGCTGTTTATGGCGATCATACCACTGCAAGTGCTTGCCAACGTAGCAGAAATTATACTTGAAGAAAGTGAGGAAAGCGCCCGGGAATATTTGGCGTGGAAAAACTTCGTGTATCTCATCGATTTGGTGTGTTGCGGTTTCATACTGTTCCCTGTCGTGTGGTCGATTAGACATCTACAAGAAGCCTCCCAGACTGACGGAAAAGCCGCCATGAATCTGAGGAAACTGAAGCTGTTCAGGCACTTTTATGTCATGATCGTTTGCTACATTTATTCAACTAGAATCATTGTTTATTTGTTGAAAATAACGGTGCCGTTTCAGTATGGTTGGCTGCACGAAATGTTCAAGGAAATGGCGACGTACGTGTTCTTCGTGCTCACGGCTTACAAGTTCAGACCAGCGGCACAGAATCCTTACTTCGCTTTGACCGATGACGAAGACGATGAGGTAGAAATGTAAGTTGATTATTTTTTAGAATATTCCTATTACGAAGGACACTGCTAAAGTTCGCTGAAAATGTAAAACAAAAAAATTACATAAGGTTCTCAAAATATTTATCTTTAAAATCGAAATACTTTTGCATCAAATGAAATCAATCTTCGAAACACTTTTTCCGTTCTGAGTAAGGTGCCTCTGATGTGCCGGAATAAGAAATAGTCATTGAGAAATGGGTCATTAATTTGCAGTGCTGTGTGAGAGCTTGCATTATCATGATAAATGCTTTGTCAGTTTGTTATTTCTTCTGATAAGCGATGCGATGAGGATATATACATTACATTACTTCTCAGTGATATGACTAAATGACCGCCTTATTAGATAGATCGTAGTATTTGCCCTCTTCACTACCTTTTCAACCTGTGCTGCCCATTTAAGGTCTGATGGAATGGTGACCCCTAAGTCATTCTGTTTGTCTGTAGCTGCTAGTTGGTTATTGTGGAGACTATATTCAGGGTGGGGGTTAGTTGAACCTAGGTGGAGTTCACAGCATTTCTGAGCATTTAAGTGTATCAAACAGCTGTGGGTCCATCTTTCCAAAGTATCTAGATCCTCAATGAGCTGATCATGTTCAATTGATGAGTCACATAAAATTTTTGTTTTATCTGTGAAGTGACAAACTGTGCACATCATATTTTGGGAGAGATCTGAGATATATATTATAAATAGGAGGGGTCTGATGACCGATCCTTGGGAAACTCCACTAATCATAGGGCGACTACTTCAATGGCTTTCATTTGCTCTAACCTGAAAGTGAGATAGTTCTCAATCCAATTAGTAGACCACCTCTAATTCCATAATGTTCTAATTTGTAAAGAATCCTTTGAATGAGTACAGTGTCGAATGCTGTTTAAAAGTCCAGGTAAATTACATCTACTAGCTGGATACCCTTCATTTAATGCTTTGGTCCAGACCTCTAGGTTTTGGAGAAGATTTGAGCTGCCAGATCTCTTTGGCAAGAATTAATGGTGGTTTTGGAAATTAGCCTTGCATTGATTTATAATAAAATCTGTTATTTCCCCATGATATAATCTTCTTCATGGCTTTACTGGTAACGGATGTCCCTCTTCTTGTATATTGGTATAACAGTTCTCTTCTATTTTTCGGGGACTGTGGATTCAGTTAGAGATTCATTTGTAACTCGGGCAAGTAGTTCACTTAATTCCTCAGCACAATTCTTAAGTAGGACAAGTGAGACTTCATCTGGTCCAGGGGCAGTGCGGATTTTCTGTTGTAATGCTTCAACTACTTTTAAAAGGTGTAAATTAAATGTCAGTTAGACTAGCGGTAGATCTTGTATCTTCTGAAAGGATAGGACTTTTCTTATAAACACACTATGAAATTGATCCACAAAAATTTCTGCTTCAAGTTGAGATTCAAAGTTAATGTGATTGTCATGGTTTTATAGTCTATTCTTGCTACACAAAGTTCATTTACAATGTCATTATTAAGCCTTTTTTAACTTTCATAATCCATAGGGTCTTTACTGTCTCTTTTTGTTTATTTTTGTTTAAATTATTTTTTTTTATCAATGGTTTATTGTAGGTTTTTGGATGTTTCTTAAGCGATATTAGATTGGAAGTGTTTCAAAGTTTTCATATGCTGAACAGTTTCTCTCTATATAGTTTTTTAAAATTTCTTCTCTAATTTGTTCAACATTGGCTGCCCAGAAATTTAGATGTGTTTGTGTTCACTATTTATATCTAGGTTTAACTGTGCTGTGGCTCAGATTACTTTGTTATCACTTTTTCTAATTGTTGCCTCATGGTGTAATTCTGTTATCAGGTTCTCGTCTGTAACAAATAAGATGTGAGGGTATTTCTTTGTTTCTATATCATGTGGGATACTCTACTAGCTAGTATAGATAAGAGTCGCTGTATGCTTCTAGAAAATTACATGCTGCAATGTTTGGTTTGTTCTGCTCATTAGTTTTCAAGTTTATTTCCTTGTAATTAAAATCACCGAATAGGATTATAGAAAGATATTTTACTCTTGATAACTGTTTAATTAGGGTGCATAAATCATTACTTGCTGGTTCTGAGCACTTTGGCCTGTAGATATTTCCTAGAATAAACTTGATTGAGCTTAGTCGAAGCATCTGGGGGATACTTTATAAGGTATCATATTTTTTTTTACTTTAAGAACATAGTCTTGACATTATTTTCTTAGGCAACTCATTTGCAGTATATTTATAAACATATTTTATATATTTTAAATTTCCAAGTATTTGTTTTCACCTTTGGGGTTCGGGGATGGTCTTAATAATTCGTAGAAGGATTTTTGAGATTTGTTTCCGAATTTTCAAATTATCTATATTTTATTTAATAAAAAATAACATTCATCCGGCAAACAGATGGGCGAATGTCGGCCCTACTTCGTATCTTAGACTAATATGAGAATTGCAAAACGCTAGCAACTCAAGGAGTACTTGATTTCGCAAACTATAGCAGTGTCGTATTTCATAAATTACATAAATTATAATTCCAATTTGCTTTGCAGCCTTACAGAGTCCGGAGCAATGGAAGGAATGAAGAAAGTCAACTCCAGGATAACGAAAGTCCCCTTACACCAACAGAATCTGACCGAAGTGACGGAAGAGGAAAAGGACGCGCTATTGGGCCAACGTGAGAGCAGCCACGAATATGATTAGACTTTTTTTGTATATATAAATATCTCTCGCTTAGTTTTCTACTGTGATACGTGTTAGTACTGATTATATAAGTGGTTATTAGCTCAATGGGATATTTTAATGTGACGGACCGAGTGCGAATGTCGTTCTTGAAGTTTCTTTTTAACTTCGTTTCTTTAATATTCGATAAATTCGCTCAAAATGTTAATTTATTTTCAATTGGGTAGCTCGGTTGATAGTTAAAAATGTTCTTTAAACCTATTTTTAATCGATGCTTTAGTTTGGACTATATACTTTTTTCCCAGTACGTAATTATGTCAAATTGTAAATTTTATTCTTTGAGTTGCTAATAATAAATTATCGTTAAAATCGGTATGAACATTTCGGAAATGAAGGTAGTCCTTCTGCAAAGCGAGAATCTTAAAAATTTTGGACTTTTCCACAGTTAAATAATTTATTATCCTAATTTTTTTTTAGTCCTTTTGTAATCGAAGCACTTCTATTATACATACATACATACATACATACATACATACCAAAAAAGCTGCGTAGTTGTAATTTTGACTTCCTATTTATTATACTTTAGCTTTTAACATTTAATCGATAATTTTTATTAAAAGGAAATGCTTTTCGTGTTTTGTTTTTGTGTAAAAAAACCGCCTCTATTATTGTGTTTCTTTTGCAATTTTAACAATGGTGATATACGTTGTATTTACAATTTAATTTTTTTAAAGCTATTTTAAAGGGCCGTGGCTTGGCATTAGTATGAAAATAACTCGGTAATTAGATTGGGCACCACTATATTTAAAGCATTTATTCAAATTTTAGAATATTAATAATAAAAACATAGAAACTATCATTACTAATTGAAGAGTGCAGAAAAGATAGGGGGAAGGTAATTTTTTGATGTTTTTGAGAAATATCAATTTTAGATAGAATAATGACTTACTTATCACTTTTATAATTTAAATGACTACCTGGTAACATTTTCGTAAAGGATAAAATAAAAAAATTTGATTGCGGAAAAAATTTATTGTCAGAGTTACACAGTAAGTATGTAAATTAATTTTAGGTTTTCTTAGGATTTTGGTTCTTCTTGGTAAAGGCCTTTTTCTTAATTGGGATGACGGTGTGCGGCAAGTTCTCATAATAGTTAATCGCCTTCTCAGTGTTGCATAGTTTTTTAAGGTGCAATAATAAACAAGGTTTTCTTTATGAAAATTTTCACTTCTCTAATCTCCCTTGATTTGTATGAAGGTATGGTCATATAAATTGAGTCCATTAATTCCGTCCAATTTCGAAGAAGTGCTTGGTCAACTTCAATTACACTAAAAGGTTCTGGTTTTACTCTGCATGATTTTATTTCATTAAACCAATCTTCAGGAAGTTCAGCAGGAATTTTTTAATTAATTAACCTCATGTCCCGGTCGCACTTCATATAAGAGTGCCCCTGGACCGGAAAGATCACTTGTATAGTGTCTAATCTTTTAGCAACATGGACAACGTAATGCAAATACCGAAACACTGTAAAGTTCTTATTTTGACCTCCACACGAGTCACAGAAGATTCGCAAATGTCTATTGAACAAAAATAAAATAGTGGGGTAAAGACGCGAAGTCGTTGGATCTTTTTCCACCAATTATTTTAGGTTTTCTTAGGATTTTGGTTCTTCTTGGTAAAGGCCTTTTTCTTAATTGGGATGACGGTGTGCGGCAAGTTCTCATAATAGTTAATCGCCTTCTCAGTGTTGCATAGTTTTTTAAGGTGCAATAATAAACAAGGTTTTCTTTATGAAAATTTTCACTTCTCTAATCTCCCTTGATTTGTATGAAGGTATGGTCATATAAATTGAGTCCATTAATTCCGTCCAATTTCGAAGAAGTGCTTGGTCAACTTCAATTACACTAAAAGGTTCTGGTTTTACTCTGCATGATTTTATTTCATTAAACCAATCTTCAGGAAGTTCAGCAGGAATTTTTTAATTAATTAACCTCATGTCCCGGTCGCACTTCATATAAGAGTGCCCCTGGACCGGAAAGATCACTTGTATAGTGTCTAATCTTTTAGCAACATGGACAACGTAATGCAAATACCGAAACACTGTAAAGTTCTTATTTTGACCTCCACACGAGTCACAGAAGATTCGCAAATGTCTATTGAACAAAAATAAAATAGTGGGGTAAAGACGCGAAGTCGTTGGATCTTTTTCCACCAATTATTTCTGGATAACGATAAAAGGTAGCACTGTTTGTTGATAACACATGAATGTTAAAAGAATTATTATTAATATTACAAACTAATTAGGGCTGAGGAATGAATACTATTAAGCCCAAAATTACAAGTTCAATAACAAACACAATTATTAAATAAGTAATTAGCAAATAACATAATGCAAACAAAGCACTAAAAATAAACTTTTAGTTTTCGTTAAAAAAGTCATCGAGTCGGTTTTTGAATACATTTACTGACTGTGCGCGAACAACACTCGAGGGTAAATTATTCCAAGTATAAAAAACTATTACAAAAAAAGTTTTCTCGGGTACGTGTTTTAAAATATTCTTTGCTCAACTTGTATTCATGTCCACGGAGGCGCTCATCTGTATTCCGTGGGAGTATACTATAGAAGTTGGATGAAAAAGTACCATGAAGAATTCTGTATGTCACAATTAAATCACCCCTTAATCTTCTGTGGGCAAATGAACACCAATTCGCCATGTTAAGCCGTTCTTCATACGATGGTCTGATTCTGCCGAAAGGTATTCGAGTAGCGTAGCGTTGAACATTTTCCAATCTTTTTTGATCAGAAACCAAATCAGGACACCACGCAGGTCCGACATATTCCATCAACGGTCTAACGTAAGTTGTATAAAGTTTAGAAAATGTTTGAAATTTCACACGCGTAAAGGACTTTTTTAATAGGTAGATCATTGAGTTCGAACGTTTACATACCGCTGATATGTGTTCTGACCACGTTAATGAAGAGTTTACAATGAGTCCCAGGTCGTTATAGGAGTTCACAGTTGCTAACGCACTACCGTTTAAATAATATTTCACGCCCGGGTTATTTTTTCCTATATGCAGGACGACACATTTTTCCGCGTTTAAAGGAAACAGCCAGGTGTCACACCAGTTTGAAATAGTTTCAAGGTCTTTTTGTAGCTGGGTAGAATCTGTCACAGGATTACAGTATAGGTTAGTGTCATCAGCGTAACACGAAATATTAGAATTTAAGTCTTTGCCTAGATCTGCAGCGTATACCAGGAATAGTAATGGCCCTATGACAGAGCCTTGAGGGACACCACTTAGAACTGGATACTCTGACGAGAACATCTGTCCAACTTTTACCTTGAAGATGCGATTTGACAAAAAATCACTTATCCAGAGAAGTAAAGAGCCGCGAATGCCAGCTTTTTCCAATTTATAAAGCAATCTCTTTTTGGGAACACGATCAAAGGCTTTAGCGAAATCAAGATATACGACATCGACAGGCTCTTTATTGTCCACAGACGTAGTCCAATCGTTTAAACAGGTCATTAGGTTTGTTAATGTGGATCGGCCTTTAATAAAACCGTGTTGTTCTTTTGGCAAGACGTCATAGCTCTTAAAAAAATCAGACATATAATTGGTTAAGATGGATTCCATTATTTTACAAGCGATTGGAACGAGGCGTATTGGACGATAGTTGGATGGACTGAGTTTGTCAGAATGTAGGGTAAGTTGCCTTTTATAATAGTGGTAATATAATAATGGTAGATAGATTTGGAATGGGTAGGCTGTTTTGAAAGTCCATCGCAATACATTCAAAATGTTTTATTAATCTCTGCTTCAAAGCTTGTTTTCATTTTGTCAGTTACATCTGTACCACGTAGCTTGCTTTGAAGAACCTTAAGTTCAGCTAAAAACTGGTCACATGAACTGCAGGTATCGCTTTGTGGGTATGTTATGTTGAGAATGGGGTGTTAATACACTGCGACCTAAACGATCTATTGTGCCCCCTTCTGTCGCCACTGCACTAAGGAAATGTCTCAATGCCTATAGCGACCCTTCCAATCCTATTTTCTTAAGGATGTGTAAGATTTGAAATGGCATTCAATTAGGATATGAATGGAGCTTCCTCCTCACAGGATCTGCACTCACTATCCTCTACTACTCTCAGTTTACTTAGGTGTCCTTTTAGTCGGCAATGCCCGGTAAGGATCCCTGTTACAATACGTAGCCTGTTCTTGCTTAGGCAGATGCAAGCTTCCGATCTTTTCTGGTTATATTCACCCAGAAGTATCTTGGCCTGTCTCAGCCCCAAGAGATTGTTCCAATTATCGGTTCTTCTACTACCCAATTCTTTTTTAATCTCTCCTAATATTATGTTACTGCTGATACCGCAGAACGGCTCAGGTCCTACAAAGGGTGTTTGAGCCCCTTTCCTTGCAAGACTATCTGCAATCTCGTTACCCTGTACCCCGTTATGTCCCGGGGCCCAAGTGAGAGTAACTCTATTTTTCTCGCCTAGCTCATTCAATTGTTCTAGGCATCTACAAACCATTTTTGAGCTGATTACGTAGGAACTCAGCGCTTTGATGGCTGCTTGACTATCGGACATGATGATAATCTCTTGTCTATGATAGTTTCTCTCGATGTTAAACTGGATACACTTCTCGATGGCGTGAATTTCCGCCTGGAAGATCTTGGGTATTTTCCCAAGCTTTCGGAGTGCTTGGTTCTCGGCCCATACACTCCTATTCTAGTTCCTTCTATGGTTTTGGAACCGTCCGTATACCACAGAATAGCACGTCTTTCGGTTGCAAGCGCGATGGATTCTTGGCTCCACTCTTTCTTGCAGCCCAGCTCTGTGGTTTTGAAGTTTTTCACAAAACTGTACTTCTTTTGCATTTCATCCTGGGGCATGTACCAGCAGGGTTATTCTACTAAATTTATAGTCCGGCTAAAAGTTTATAGCCCGACTACAAGTTGGATTTTGAAGTTAGGAAAATATAAAGTTCAAGCCAAAATCCAACTTGTAGCCGGGCTATAAATTTAGTAGAATAACCCTGCAGGTATCTTTAGTCCTGAAGCAAGTAGACTTTCGTCTGATTACTCCCTTCCTGATCATTCTATATCGTGTCCTTTTTGCCACATTCTCTATCATCAAATGTAGAGGGGCGAGGTTTAAGATCACCTCCATTGCGGCCGTAGGACAGGTTCTCATTGCACCAGTAATGCAAACACAGGCTAGTCTTTGTACTTTTGAGATATTGGCTCTCGTACTAACTAAACTAGTTCTGTTACTCCAGGCTATAGCCCTGTAAGTGATGATTGGTCTTACTATTGCAGTTTACATCCATCGCAGTATACATCCATCGCAGTATGTTTGGGTTACATCCCCATCGTTTACCTGCAATGTTTCTGCATACCATTAGGGCTTTTGTGGCCTTATTTACTACTTCCTTCTCATGTGCGTTCCAGAGAAGTTTGTTGTCCAGGGTTAGGCCTAGATATTTGACTTCATTTTTCCATTCTATATCTATCCCGTCTAATTTAACGGTTTTGAGATTGTTTTCTTTTCCTTGAAAAGGCTACTAGTGTTGTTTTTGTAGGGTTTATACTAAGTCCCACTTCACGGCACCATCTTTTGGTATGTTCTAGTCCTCGTTGGACTATATCACACAGGATATTACTAAACTTGCCACTAGCAAATATGACTATGTCATCGGCATAACCTTGACAGGGTATGCCGAGGTCAGTCAATCTGCATAGAAGTTCGTCTACGATTAGGCTCCACATTAGTGGGGATAGAACTCCTCCTTGTGGACATCCTCTGGTTGTGCAGATGGAGATGGTGTCCTGCCCTATCTGTGTCTCTGCAGTTCTCGTAGATAACAGCTGAGCCATCCATCTGGATGTGGTGTTATCTACTCCTCTGTATGCAAGTGCTCTTTTTACAGATTCGTGTGGCGTGTTGTCAAAAGCTCCTTCTATGTCTAGGAAGGCACACACGACCGTTTCTTTGTTTGTCAGTGCATCCTGGATTACATCAGTCAACTCTACCAGGGCAGTTTCTGTAGATCTTCCTGCTCGGTACGCGTGTTGGCTGTGGTGGAGTGGCACCCTCTCCAGGACTTCTGTTCTGATATAATTATCAACAGCCTTCTCCATTGTTTTTAATACAAAGGATGTGAGGCTGATTGGACGGAAAGATTTAGGATGTGTGGTATCCTTTTCCCCTACTTTTGGAATAATGGTGACTCTGGCCCTTCTCCATGCTTCTGGTATATATCCCAGCTCCAGACTGCTCCGGGATAGCCGGATTATGTGGGTAACCAAAGCTTATATTAATATTTGTATAAATATATGTCGATAGGTTTCATACATGCGATAAAAGTTGTGTTTGGGTGTAGCTCGCAAAAATCATCTTTTTTAGTGAGAAATAGTGCAAAATAATCGGATGTTTGAACACCAATAAAAAGGAAAAATCACAGTGAGTCCGATATACTACCCAATTTTTGAATTAAATGCAAATTAACAAAGTTATTAACAAAGTTATTAATTAAATCGTATTATAGCCAAAAATACAAGATAGTTTATTCTGTTTTTGCGGTGGTTTTTCTGCGATAAACAAAAGAAGCCGAATTAAATTTCTGATTTAAAATTTTGGCAGTGTCTATTGAACCGATGCGTTGGAAACAAATTTCTCTAAATACAATGATAATACGTTAAATGAGCTCTTAGTTTCTTACATTTCTTAAAATCTAATTAACGTAAAAACTAATTCGTTATTTTGGTACTCAAGAAATATAACAGAATATTTTTACATCAGACATGAATTAGCACATGGTAACAGCATACTGGTACGTTGTTATGGCACAAAGTTTCTGATGCACTTAATGCTGATAACTCATTGACATTTTTCTATGTTAGGGGACTAGTTAGAGCACATTATTCATACCCTCCCGTTTTCCTTCATTGCACCCCCCGCTTTGTCACTGGCAGTTTGAATTTGACTGTTTTAGTTTAACATGTCTTGTTGGTTTAGAGTGTAGCGTCACAGTTTATAGCTTAAAAGAATCAGTTCGCTCACTCGGACTAATTGGATGTTCCAAAATAACATCCACTCCAGGGATACAAATTCAGGATGCGCAGAAGACTGCTGTTTGAATATAGGCGGTTGTCATATATTGTATTAGGCATTCGAAACAAATGAACTGCCAGTGGGAAGATTTGATATATCCAAGGGTTGCGACATACGATATATTCTGTTTACAATACGTAAAATCATGAATAATGGATTACATTTAAATATTTTGTCCACGACCACTTAATAATAAATCAATATTCTACCTCCTAACTAAAAGCATATAGTACCCATATATCACGGAGTGAATTATGATAATTCACGCTTTTGTAATTCTGGCACATTCCGGTAGATAACTAAAGATAGGCGATACTTTTCATAACGATATTTTCTAGATCGAAAAATCAAATCGATAAATCAAAAAATCGGAAAATCGAAAAATCAAAAAATTGAAAAATCGAAAAATCCAAAAATCGAAAAATTAAAAAATCGAAAAATCGAAAAATTGAAAAGTGGACAAAACAACAGTTAGTTACCTATGTTTAATAAAAACTTTCCATTCTACACTTAACTTTTATGTAATAAAGAAACCATAATGGTCGTGGACAAAGTATAGTATTAGACTCGCAAGACGTCACCCTGCGTGAATAATGGCTACCATAAATTGCTCGTTTAATAATATACTATTATGTCAAACACAATAAAAATAAGATACATTTTTCATAAATTGGCAGGCTTTGTGACTATTATTTCGAATAAAAAAACACGTTCAAGATGCAAGACTATGTCTCTACCCCCGAAAGCCTTGGTTTCTTTGAACACTCCGTCGCGGTGAGCGGAAAGTCCGTCGACCGCTGAGGACAGCAATTTTCGCCCGAGGTGGTTTGTTAAAAAATATAGAAAATGATACTTTCTCTATGTCTGTACGTGCTGTTTATGTATTATGAATGTAAACGAAAGGTACTAAAATGGTTGCAAATAAATTGTTTGCGTTGTTATTATTGTTGGAAGAGGAAGAACAAAAGGAACTGTCAATTGCAACCGTCAAAGTTTCCAATAAGCCAGTGAATGAGTTGTTTTTGTGTCGCGATACACAAGGTGCCTTTAATATCACTGTTCAGCGGAGGCTTTTTGGAAATGAAACCAAATTTAGGGAGTATTTTAGACTTTCTACAGATCTTTTTGAAGACATGACAGCGATAATGGTGTTTTCTCTGAAAATTACAATCCTAATTCATTGTGAACCTAGCTTTTAAATCTGAATTATTAATATTTTTACCTAACTTTGGCAGAGATATTCAATAATAATTATAAACTCTTGTTAGACAATTCTTTTAAATCATAGTCATGGTAGTTTTTTTGTCGTTTCTATGACAACCTGTAAAAATGAATCACAATAGGCATACAAATAAATTATTAAATCAGCAAAAATTGATTCATATTTTTAATGATTTTTACCTACTAATCGTGTGTAGATGTTTTTGTGCGATGTTAAGAGGAAGAAAATGTTTGCCGTTAACGATATATATCAAGATATATTTGAATATGTTATTACCTGGAAAACTTTAAAGGCAAACAAAATTAGCGCAGTCATGCCTTATGTGATTTTTTTAATATAAAATATTTTTTTTTAAAACTTTGCTCAGGATTGGGATTGTCACAGGTGCCATTCGGTAAAGTACAATGTTTTTACAAGCTTTTGGGGTATATTTTATTTCATTATCAGATGGCGGTAAAAATTTACAGTGGGCTCTTGGGCTATTATGATTTGATTATGTATGCGCCAGGGATACAAATCCGAGTTGCGCAATGTATAAACTGGAACATTGAGATCAAAAGTGCCGACGCAGAGTGAGCGAACTGATTCTTTTAAGCTATAAACTGTGGTAGCGTGTTGGTATTTCAGTCCTTTCCGGTTAATTTTTTTTATTTTAAATTGATTGTTTTATTTGTAAAATTAAAACTTTTAAAACGGTGGATGAGTCATCAATTTGCGATCTTGCAAGTTATTTTTTAGATGTACTTACTAACAAATATTTTTTAAGCTAATCATAAAATTAATCTTCAAGTAGGCAACACAATATACACATAACATACTTTTCGTTTGCTAGTCAAGTTAGCCGTGTCTGTCAAATTAATGTAGTAAGATTTGAATTCGGCAATCAAAACTATATTTTAATATCGTGTGATCGTAGAAAAATAATGTGTGTAATTCGAGCGGTAAGCTATTTGATAAAATGTAACTTTTTTTTATCTTAAGCGGCAAAGTAGCACTTTCCTCTCTTAATACACAATTAGGTATATTAATTCTGGTTTTGATGCTTTCACAATTTTACATTCCCAAATAAAAAAAAAATAAAATCCACTTTTGCTTTAACATGACTTTATTTTATGAACATTAATACGTATCATAAGGGGGAGAGCCGTGGTTTTTATACACCAAGTCATAAAATTTCATGTTCGCCTCAAATGGATTTGTTGAAAGTTCTAAATCGTTGCCGATCTTTAAAAACGTTAAGTTTTTAGGATTTTTTCCAGCTTCTTTCCATATTTTGTTCTGTAATAGTGGATCACTATTTGGGGTGGGATTACTGCAAAAAAATGATAAATTAGGTAACTTATTGGATTATATTAATATATTTTTCGATTATGATATTTATTGCTTTGTACAGAGTCTTCAACAATATCCGTATTCCACGTGACTTAATTGATGTAATTAGTTAGAACAGTAACATTATTAACTTCATTGGTAAGCTTAAAACAATGTCTCCGACCTATTTGATAGAACTGTTACTTAAATTGTCCTAAAAGTCTGCAAGAACGTCCTTACCCACTAAACATTAAACATTACCAGTCTTTTTTGTAACGTTTCTCATAGACTTTTCTGGATATATTTTTAGAACAATGCTAAAATATCCCATAGATGTTTAAATTTTAACATCTATTTATTAACATTCTTCGCATATATTTACAAATGAAGTTTTATGTACGCTGGAATACTTCAATTAGCAGTTACATAAACATCTTTTGTACTTCTTTTTAGTTACTTCCTGTGACAAACATTTATACGATGTTAATGTGTATAACTCACAATAATATCGCATACAGGTCAGCACAGTAATGTGTACAAGTTACACATCTTTAAGATGGCGGCTGTCTTTAGTCTTTACATCGCAGACCTGGCAGACCTAACAGTTCGTCCTGCGTTCATAGGTAGAGATAGAGCCGGGCCAAGATGAGTTTGGTACACAACATGGCGACGACAAAAGTTGCGCACTGGCTGTTGCCTAGCAACGACGCTCGGTGAAGCCAAACTTAGTCATTCAGTGGCGTAACTTGGGTCGAGTATATACAAAGTGAATAGAAGCGAATAGAGTGCGAAAAGTGACAATTTTATATAATTATAGTGCCTTGTGATTTATATTTACATATAAGTATTGTGTTTTTGTTGTTGTAATGGCTCCAAAGAGAATCGGATTAAAAGGGAGGTCCCTTAATAGTCAAACAAGAGAAATTATATATAATATTACTAAATTTATGGAAAAAGAAGCAAATGAAGGATTTCAAATTCCTCTAAAAAATTATCGGTGAGTATGATAATATAGTATTTATTTTATAACAGTCGTATACATAACAAGTAGTAAGAAGCGTTAGAAGCGTTGGCGGCTAGTGCAATAATTTCACGAGCATATAATTATCTACAATCAGAATTATACATTCATAATAACGAGAAGGTTTTCATAATTTATAACATTTAATAAAAAAATTGTAAATTGCAAATGCAAATACTGAATTAACTGAAGAACAATTGTTTTAGAAACAAACATTTGTTAATAGTATATATGTATATCTGTATTAGTTATAGACAATGTTTCATACCACAATGTAACTGTGGAACGAAATATAACATCAGCAAGTCTCAAATTAGCCATGACAAAATGACTAAAAGAAAAACACATACCTTTTCAGGAATCAATGACAAAACCGGAATTGTACAAAATTATTAAAGATAATAAATACAGATTTCCGGTAGTTTATAAATTAGACAGATTATTGGAGGCACACGGTCACAAAGTCCTTCGGCTTCCATCCTATCACCCTGATTTCAACCCAATTGAAAAAATATGGGCTTCTGTAAAAAATTGGGTAGCAGCTAGAAATACCACATTCACTTTAATTAATGTAGAATCGTTAACACCAGAAAGGTTTGCAACATTGCAAGTAGAAGAGTGGGTCAACATTTGTCGATATGTCAAGGAATATGAAGCTACACAAATTAAAAAAGAACATTTTTTGGACTCCACAATGGACCATTTAAGATTTACAGTAAATACTGGATCATCGGATGAAAGTTGGTCAGAGGATGAAGACAGTGATGTAAGTTTAGGAGTACAACAGCTCTCTGATTTAGAATCGGACGAAAATTAGATTTGTGTCTCTATTTATATGTATTTTTGTAATATATAAGTATTTTAATATTGTCTTATTTTATTATCACATATAGACACATATATATAAAAAAAAATTATTTAGAATAAAATTCACATCATAGTACCTAGTTAGTAATTAATCATAATACATAATTTAAAATAAAAAAGGTAATACAAATTACTAAACGTCCGCCTCTGCTTCTGACGTCACACCTTCGCGCAGGGTCGAGCACGTGGCTGTACCAATCTCATCTTGGCCGGCCTCTACCAAGGATCGCTTACTACTTACGTCCGGTAGTACTGTATTATGGAGGAGTCTGATGCTTAGTGTTAAGAATTTCATCAAAGTTCTTACTTTTACCTTTGATATTGATTTAGACCATTGTATTATCATACTTTTTCTATAAAATTTCCTGGGATTAGAATAGAAGTTTAACTTGTCCTTTTAGCTTTTACCTTCAAGTTTATTTATTTTTATAGATGAAATATATAAAATATTTATAGACCATAATCCATATAAAATTTAGATAAAAATATAAAGATATGAACATTTAGTTCATTAATATGATTTTATTTTATGGGCTTTATAATAACATCTACAAGAAGTAAAAAGACTTTCTTGGATACAACAGAAATGTCACAACTGGTTTGTTAAAAAGACATCATTTTTGAGAACTTCCAGTAACAGTGAATAACGTAACAAAGTAGCGCTATAATATCACCGCAACGTCTACATTGTTTCATCACAAAAGTAAACGTCCCCACTCTGGGCTTAGACGGTTATGATGAGTCCATCCTATAGATGAAAACAAAAGTAAAAATTAGAGTTACAATGTAACAATGTGATGTAAAGTTCTCATTAATATAACGTTTTTATGCATAGTGGGAAATTTTTTTAACGATAAAAAATAGAATTACAAACGTTTATACAAGGTGTTTCACAGCTTATCCGAATGTTTTTACCAGATACGTACTTCTAAATAATAAGTAAATTTCTAAAAAAAAATAATATTTGTGATCCGTTCACGCAATTAATCGCAATTCGGTTTATAAATATCCCCATAAAAAGAAATCTAGAAGATTTGAGTCCGGATACCACGGATGCCGTCCGATTTTTATCACGTTTTCTGTTGGTAAACTCAATTTATTTCCAAACTCAAATTTTATAACTATTAACATCAACGTACAACGGCTATAATAGAAAATGAACTCTGATGTCAAAATCATCATGTTCAGTCTGGAGCCGATCCTGTGTACATTTCCTAGAAACTATAGGACAATACAGCTCCACAACTCCGTGTCGGCGTCTTTGATCTGGCGGTCGAGAATCAAGCAAGACGGAATGGTGCTATCTCTGTTAGATTCAAGGGAAAATTCGGGCCCGGATTAAACAATTTTTTTATTATTGAAAAAATTGAAAACCTTGGCGTAATAAGGTTGGTCACATGCCATATTAAGTAAGTTTTGGGAAATTACATTTTTAATTTGTTTTAATATAATTAAAAAAATTATTTAAATATAAATATTACGAAAAATAGCACATCTTTCGGATTAGAGGTAAAATAATTTATATATGGCTAGTAAAATCCTCGTTAACAAATGTTTTGAGCTAAAACAGTCACTTCACGACAAATTGTGGCTTGGATCCATTTTACACCAAGGGCTTCAATTGTTAAAGAATTGTGTCACGCTCGTGGATGCAAATCAAGTGGTACCCCCGTGTCTCTGGCAAGTGTTACTCTTGGCGCAAAGGGTTTATACCTAGATAAACGAATGCTTCGACTGAGGTCTGGGAACTCTATGGTATTTTGGAATTATAAAGAATGTGTGCTTTTGTTTTAACAATATTGGTTATATTTAGATGTATTCTTATTATTTGAAATACAGATTTGTAGAAGTTATACTTTGACAGTTTTTATTAATATAATATATTCAATTTTTATCTGACCATACCGAAGTAGGAAATTTTAAAACTTTATAGTAATGTGAAATTTGAATTACAATATTACAAGATATAACATAATTAGTACTTATTTTAGGTAGGTACTAAATTTGTACTTGGAGAAAGTAATATCGATTTTTACAAGAAAACTTGAAAAGTAAATTAATTTAATTCCTATTTCTGATGTAAAACTTAAACCAAGAAAACAAATAAATTGTAGTTTGTTCAACAAGGGTGGATATGATAGCCATATCACACAAAGACGAAGTTTGAGCACGACGTCGTAGGCGGAGAACTCAATCGTCTGATTGTGATATGAACAATCTACTCGATATGGTCAGTATATTTTTTCTACGACCCACTAACGAAAATCTACAAATTTAAAAAATTATTTTAGGTTATTTAGACAAAATAACTAATTTTAAAATAATTTACGAAGTTGACTAATTTATAAAATAAAATAAACATAAAAAATTAATTAGTCCTCGGCCTAGATTCGATCCCGGACTTTTCGCGTGGAAGGCAGATGCTCTGTCTTCATCTTCACCGAAACTTTCAGGACTTTAGTTTTAATACTCGTAATTAAATTAGTATCATGTAGTTTAATTAAAATTTATTTTTTTTTAAATGTGGACACAATAGAAACAAAAATGCTATTATTTATCGAGTCTGCACAAAAATTTTAATGTATATTTAATATCAATAACTAAAATATATATTGACAATTAGTTTAACAGAATTGTCACTTATTTAAAAAATTTTAAATAATAGGAGTTGGGTGACCAAAATATGAACTGTGATTTGTAGATTTAATTTTGTTAAAGTGTTCTTACTACCTAAAATGGATATGAAATATATTCGTAGTTGAACACAATAACATACTTTTTCGTTTTGTAGTATGTGCGTAGATTGGCTAATATCCATGCACAGATTACAAAACGAAAAAGTATGCTATTGCCTTCAATTGAACGAATATATTTCATATCCATTCTAGGAAGTGAGAACACTGCAAAAAAAATAAATTCGCCAATCACCGTTCATATTTTGATCAACCGACTGCTATTATTTTTAAAATTTTAAATAAATGACAATTCTGTCAAACTAATTGTCAGTATATTTTTTAGTTATTGAGATTAAACATACAATAAAATAAGTTATTCTTTTGGAAAACGTTAGCATGGATGACTAAAGGGTATTGGGTTAATTAATTCTAAAAGTGTGGTACAAATGTTATTTTTTGTAGCCAATTCTTCAAAATTATTTTGAAATATCTTTTCAATATTGAATATTAGTTCTACAAATTCATCATTTGACAGTTGCAGATTTCCAAATGTATCTGAATTGGCGTTATCATATGCCTTTAAAAAGCAATAAAAAGAAAAATCATCTATTTCAACGTGATGTTTGTTATATTTAAGACAGGTATCGCAGGAGTGGATCCGCAAGGCTTTTATTAAAAGGTAACCACACACATACCTGATAAAAATTTTCTGTAGCAATTCGTCTTTACAATTATTTAGGGTGTTAATAATTTCATCATAAAATAAAATACAAGGTGTTCCATTTAAAAAACATACATTTTAATTTGCCAGGCAAAAACGTGACACCCTGTATATCCAAAGATATTTTTAAAATATGTAGGTATTTTTCAAATCCATATAACTTTTATTTAAAACTTTCTTGCGTGTCTACAACAAAATAATGAACAATAACGCACTAATGGGACACCCTGTATAAATTATATTTTTAACAATGAAAATGTCTTATAATGTGGTACTTATCGGTTTGGGTCCTTGGGAAAACTAAAGAATGTTTTCTTGCAGGTATAACCCTTATTAAAACAGAATGATGTCTTTTTTTTCATTCATTCTACTCACAGCTAAAGAGTCACCAAAATAATAACAGTACCTTTAACTCAAACAAAATCTACGAAATTATAGGCTCCACGAAATTATACAATCAACGAAATTATACGCACGACTCAACACCTTACCTAAGTACACTTCTGAACGCCAAAACCGTCTTTTCCCTTCGAAGGCGGAGCTTAAGCGATGCGCGACGAAATCGACGCAAACCGTTGCCGCCAAGAGAGTGTTTTAGCTGTATTGCATAAGCTGTGCTATAGGTTTGTTCCAACAACAATTTGTCGACAACAACTTATTGTCGACGACTGATAGTCGACGACCTGTCCACGACCTGTCGAGGATTGGGACGCGATTCGAAACTTGGATGTGTTGGAACACATTTTTGTGTAACAAATGTAAAATTTTGAATTTGGGAAGTAAAAAAAATTTAAAACTCATTAAAAGATTTATAAATTTTGATTATTCGATTTTTAGAGTTGGTGGTGGTTTATTTACGAGCTCACTTTCGTTTTGCGCATATCTTGACAATTAGTTCATATTCACACCCAGGAACTGATTTGACAGTACAGAAACTGGTTTGTGATTAGGTTTGGGTGTGTTGGAACACTAGGTTTTTGTACAGTTTTGAGTCCGAAGTTTGTTGGAACATCAAATCTAGACTGCGCAGAATCCCGACAGTACGGAAACCGATTTGCTATTGTGTTGGAACAAACCTTTAATTTACTTAACTTGTTTTAGTTGTAATTTTTGTATTATGTCTAAATTCACCTTTGAATTTGTACCTTTTTAGATTGGCATTTCTCAATTTGTTAAATACTTCACTCAATTTTATTAGATGTTTGTCAAAAGTTTTTGACATGATCATTATGTCATCGAGGTATACTAGACAAGTTTTCCAGGTTAATCCTTTCAAAATTATTTCCATTAGTTGTTCAAAGGTAGCTGGAGCATTATAGAGACTAAATATGTTTTTTTTTAAATCGTCTTATAATGTTATTAAAAAATTTAGGATAAGTTTTAAAACACCATGAATAGACATAAATAATTTACCCGAACTTAGCAAAGTTAGTCCATAATTTGACGAAGCGTCTTCTTGTCAATTGATCCTCAGGCGAACCTGGTTCATTTGGACTGCTGAAGATGTAACCAAGGTCCTCTCCATGTCCAACACCTAAAAAATACAAATTATGTACGTTTGAAGAGAACAAGTTATTTAAAATTTTTATAGTTTGTTCAAACTATCACATAAAAACAGTCGTGAACAAAAGAAAAAGAATATAGTGTGTAACGAAAAGATAGGTCAAAATTAGGGAAGCTCTAGGAATAACTAGCTACCAGGGCACTATGATCACTGATAATTTTAACGCTCCTGTACTAACCGAGGTCAATACATAATGCAAAGTGAACAATAAATAATTCACTATCTGTGTTGACAAGAGGCCGTTGGAGATGAAAGTCTAGAAGAAGAATAAAAAATACAGCAAATATATACCAAAATAAAAATAAAAGTAAAATATATACTTTTCTTACAGATCTGAAAAATTGTATTGTTTTCTATTCCTCAAAAAATGCTTATTTATTGGGTATTTTCAATTTCAAAAAAATAAGATAAGATACTGCATAAAATGTATCTTTATTTTGATTTATCCATCAGTTAATACACTTAAAGGCGCGATAACGATAAGTGCGCAATCGCAGCAACTCTAGCTCAGTTTGCAGCAACAAAGTATTGCTCTGAAACATATACTTTCTGTATAAAATGGTTCCTTAATCCACTATTTTTGATTCGAGAATAATTGGTACAAATTGTCCTGTCATGTTCAGAACTCATGAGAATTACATCAGAGTAAGGTAGAAAACTGGCATCAGGGTACTTAAATGATGGACACCTCAACAGTTTGAAGGTTAGGTGTAATGTTCAATGTGCTATCTTTAAGATGTATTTGTACTTATAGTGAAATGGTGTTGCTAGAGAGTATTAAAGAACAATAAAAGCACGAATCTTGAATCTCCAATCTCAAATCTCAAATCTCGATCACTATTTATCCAACAAAACGCTACTTTATGACCTACCTTTCCATTACACCCTGTTAATAGCCTCAAAAATCCAGAGTGTGTTGCCATAACAACTGCACCTTTCAGGACAAAGAATTCAAGTTTTCTTGTTTTTACTAGTAACTATGAAGACTAGAGAGAAGGAGGCGAATCGGCAATGGTCAAACTTCAAATTTCCGTCCTTCTTTTTTCCAAAGTTCGCGAAATTGACTGTAGTTGGCATGTCGAATGACAGCGGAGTCAATTTTCTATGTAAGTCAATGTAAAATGAAGTAATTTTTTAAAAAATTGTTGAAAAGAATCAAAATAATGAGAAAAAAAGTACCTGAGTACAAGTAACATGAGTGACAAAAAACATCAAAGCAAGATTTACGTCGTTCCAGATTGTAAAACAGGATAAAAATCAAATGTAAAACTAAAGAAAACACAAGAAGAAATCAATTCAATGTCTTAAAGCTTCTAATGTAAGTAAAATAATGTATTTATGTCTAAATATAATATTTATTGTAAACTAGTCACAATATGTATCTTACGAAGTATAGTTTATTTTACTACAAGTTTCTATAATATAAAATTTTACAGTCATAGATGCTAACTTACAAACAACAATAATTATGCATTAAATTTAACTTACTAGAAAAGAAAATTTATTTTTTATAGAGTTTTAATGTTAGATAAAGGGTTGCTACTGTTATTTTTTTTTTGTTTGACCCCAATTGTGTCATTGTAAATTTTTTTATAGAATACTAAACGTTTAGAACAGTGGCAGCATATATATCGTTTCTAGTGCCGATAAAGCACTTTCTAGAGATGATGCTGTTCTATACTTTTTAGAAATTATCAAATATTATGAGACTATTTACTGCTGGTACTGTTAGCAAAAAAAAGGGGAAAGCTGAAATTAAAGGATGAGGTACCATGTACATTCCCAAATCTCCCTTTATACTTGTATTACAACAATAAAAAATCTGTTAACTGTGTTTTATTTTGCTCTTAAAACTATATATTGGTTCAATTCAAAAAAAATTTTGCCACAAAATTTCAGCATTTAAGAAACCTTTTCGAATATGGTCATACATACCTAATTTGTATTTTATATAGATAAAATTAAATAATTTATCAATTAAAACATTCAAGACTTATTTAGAAATAAATACAACAGTATGTCCTGTGCTTTATTTAGCTATAAACAAGTTTATTTTTATTATTTTGACAAAATTATGTATAACTCCCATAAAAAGCCATGTAATTTGAACACCGTATGCAGTACTAGCGCCCATGCGGTTAATTATAGAAGCTCAATTAGCGTGCGGTTTTTGGGACCGTATTTTGAGTATGCCGATTCGTCTCCTTATCTCTAGTCTTCATACTAGTAACCTTACCTTCACGTTCATCAGCACCGTTTCCTAATTGACCTTTATACGTCATTTGATAGTAGTAAACAGGTACATATTTTGACATTTGTATGACTGTTCGTCGCGTTGGTCTATTAAATTGGTCGTCACTGACGAACTAAAAAAGATAAAAATTTAATTTATTTTTCCTTTACCTATATCTATTGCATTTTTTATATACAGTGTGACAATTTAAAAACAATGGGCTATATCTCACAAACAAAAGATGACATCAAAAAATGCTTGAAACCGTTTCTAGGATAGGAAGGGGGAAGAACCAAGATTACATAAAAGAGAACTCATCCGCATCAATCTTCTAGGCTCCACCTACCCCTACTAAAAACTTTTAAATAGCAAACCCCTACTTGTAAATCATTGAAAAGCATATAAAAAATGCTATTTAATGGTATAAATAATAATTGTGCAGGGTAGGGTGCAGGGGAAAATTTAATGAAGTTTTGAAAATGTCAATGAAGTTTTGAAAATGTCAATGAAGTAACTGTTCAAAGTGGTTTCCGTTGTTTTGTAAACAATAATACAGCCTATTTTTAAATTCTGCACAAACTTTGACAAATGTTCTAGTAATAGCGCGACATGCTTGAGTAATTATTTCCCGCAATTCCCCAAGTAACGCAGTTGAGTTTTATAAACAACTAACTTGAGGTAACCCCATAGAAAAAAATTAGGTGGCATTAAGTCTGGTGACCTCGGTGGCTATTCAATAAGACCTCTCCTTCCAACCCATTTGTTCGGATAATTAGTATCAACCAGTGCTTAAGTGCAGCTGCATAGTGGTGCTTCATCTTGGAAGTGCAGCAAATCTTCGTCTGGAGCTAGATTGCCTTGGTCGTCCCTTTGATTATCTAATGCATGCACAATTAAAGGTTCGATGGTGTTTTCCAGCATATCCAGATAAATGTCACTTAAATTGCCTGGCATAAACAAGGGGCCAATTAAAGCATCGCCTAATATCCCTGCCCAAACATTCAGTTTTTCAGGACATTGAGTGTGACCTTCTCTAAATCGATGTGGGTTCGCTTTACTCCATTACCAATAATTTTGTTTATTTACATTACCATTCAGTATAAAAGTACCTTCATCACTGAAACAAATATTTTTTAATAGTCTAGGTTCAACGCGAATACTTTCATGAGTTTACAAAACTCAATTTGCCTTTTGTATTGGTGAATCTTGTAATTTCAACACCTTCCTAACCGATTCACGTGATAGTCCTGTCATTGGAAATACTTGACGTGTTGATGCAGTAGGCTCTATTGCAAATTGTCCAAGGAACTCAATTTGGCATGCTTCATTCAGTATTCTTGGGACATACCTTTTTATTTTGCACTGATCCCGTTTTTCTAAACTTTTCAACTATATCGCGGATGTACACGTGACTTACATTTTTGTCCGGATACATCTCATTAAATATTTGAGCTGTTTGTAAATAACGCTGGTTCTGGGAGCCAAATATAAAAATTATCTCCACACGTTCAGGTATACCGTAAACGTAAACCATCGTGACAACTACAGCTAAATGATAGTACCGATGGTACAAATGATGACATTTAAGTGTATTAAATAAACAAAAAATTGACTGCGACAGAAACCAAAAAACAGATGTTTACAACTTGTTTTGCAAACACGGCAAATTAAAGTTTTTATTTAAAAACAAAAAGTACCTACGGACCAAAGCGCCTCTATTTACATTTAAAACCCGGTCATACATTGCAAAGAAACGTAGCGCGTGGCTATTTCGTAAATGAACCGACATGCGTTACCTGGTGCGCTGTTGCCAGGCTGTATAGTTTATCCCTTTCATATTTAAAAATAGCTTTAACCTATAATGTACTAATAGCAACAAGTTTTATTAATTAGAATAGTTTCGAGATTATTGCGACACATTAAGCGTCCCCACCAGTTCATTTTCGTACCTCGTGTATTGTGGGTAGAGATGTTGGAATATTTCCCGAAACATTTCTAATAGTAAGTCTCCAAATAAAAATGACTTGTAACCAAACAAAAAATGTATAAAATGTGTACAAAGTAGATTAAGCTATTTTAACTGCTTTCAGCAGACTTGATATTTTAGCAGCACCTGTTTTTACACCATTATGCAGGGCATTTTTGTACCTATCGTTTTTACATACATACGCTGGCTAAATAACAACTTTGGAAATACTAAGATAAACTATGGCAAACACCATTATTATTCCTGCAAATAAATGCATGGATTTTAAAAGTGTTAAACGTGACACCACCGCAATTTAAAATAACCTTGTTTTATTCATACTATACGTCACGGACGTCACGTATAGTATTTTATCCATCGATAGTCTGCGACTTTGCGATCCAGTAAATTGTTGAATATTGTGTGTTTTTATTAATCTTTAGACCTTTTTGGAAAAATTTCGGCTTTTGTATAGCTAACAACATGGTTCGCGAGTACATTTTGTGCAAAAAACTGGAAAATGTGGGTGCTGAAGTATCTTTTCATAAGTAAGTAAGGTTAGGTGATGATGTATTGCATCAGTGGTGTAGATTTAAAGATTTTTGCCGTAATATCACATGTATTATCTAGTTTTGTTTTACTATTATTTTATTTGATTTTTCAACTTTATTAATTTCGCAAAAAATTATAATTAATAGAAACACTTTAGTCTGGACTATAGTAGTAAAATAAATATGCCTATGCTTGATTTTGTAGGACTTGAAGAAAATGAAGGTATCCAAAAAAGAGTCGTATGTTCGGAGCATTTTGACCCTGATGATATTCTTCAAAAAGCAAATGGCGCGAAATATCTCGAGCCTGGAGCACTGCCAAAACTAAGTCGTTTATTGTTTCGAGAAAGCTCATTTAGGTAACTAAAAACTTTCTTAATTATGTTTCGGAAATGTTCATTCAAGTATTTATCCTTTAAAATAAAAGTTGGTAGTTTATCTTACCCAGAAATTGTTATATTGTAAGTTCTTTAAATTTTTTATAAACTCATATTACATGCCTCTTTCTGTGATTATTATTAATCAAAATGTATACTTACCTTTACATTAAAAGTTCTGAATACTCTGTTACAGCTCTGATTCCAGTATCAGTATTTTTGACAGCCCTAGTAAGAAACCATCTATGCCGCACACATTTAAAAATAACCTATTATTTATGGATGATAATAGTTAGTTTACTGCCTGGTTTTACAAGTTAAAAACTATCAATGGATATGTTTATTGTTGTATAGTTCTATGTGTTTTCGGATTTCACAAAATTCTTATCGCCAGATCCGCTATAAGAAGCGTTTCATTTAAAATCGACACCTTCTATATAAGTATGGTAAATTTATTGATTTAATAACTTTTATAAATTTATTAGTGTTAAAAATCTGAATTTTGATTTAAAAATCTCTCATTTACCAATTTGTAAAACTGTTTTGTTTAAAATAAATCTTGATTTATTTATCTTGTTTTTGTTTTATTTATTTTATTTCACATCATTATATGTAACAAATTTTGTACTATTCTTAGAAAAAAAATAGTGTTTTTAAGTTTTCTACCTACATTCCACTGAACTTCATACCCTTATTCCAAATCCAATCGCTTTTAAAGTTTAAACCATTATAAAGTTTATTGCCCACCATATAGGTTTTTTTTTATAATTAGTTGTGATTTTATCTTTAATAAGATATACGCCACTGGTATCGACAGACTTTCAGTTGCGTACAACAGCAGCGTTACCAGAAGAGATTTTCGATTACAGTCTGTCTTCTTTCGATCCACATAAAATATCTTCTTTCTCTTTTCCGATGATTGGGACCAAACAAAACATACTTTATGAATGAAATGCATCATCTATTGTTTCTTTTATCTAAGCTACAGACACTTATCTTTGAAAATAAGGTTTTACTGGCCTTTAGAGCTTTTTAACATTGTATCACAAGTAGGGTATGTTTATTTTTTTAAATTGTTAGATATTAATTGGATAATTATTGACACAAATATTATTTATACTATTGGATACTATTTTTTATAGAAAATGACGTATGACAAGTAGGGGTTTGCTAGGAGGTAAGTTCTCTTTTTAGTTCTCCCTTCCTATCTTAGAAACGGTTTTAAGCATTTTTTGATACCATCTTCCGTTTGTGAGATATAGCCCATTGTAAGTTTTTAAATTGTCACACTGTATATATATTTTTTAAAAGTATGGAAAATCTTACTCACTTTCAAGACGTTCGCATTCTGAATCGAAGCAGGCAACAAGCCAAAATAATGTAATCTTATTGCAAAGCCAGCAGAATTATATTGTAGTGTATTATTAGTAAGATCTGCTGGAGCTAACAACGTATAATCCATGTCGTATAAAGTCATGTAAAGATTAAAAATAACTGTAAGAAAAATTATCATTTTATTGTCACTTAGATACTTTATTACTTATGCAGATACGGAAATTTTAAAACGGGGAATATATCTTACAGTGAATTGAATAAGGTATAAAAGGAACATGCACAAAACAGACAAAGGGTACGCACACAAAGAAAGCAGGTTGCCTGCGCGTTTATAAGCGCCTATAATTAAGTCCGCTTTTAAATGCACCCACATACAGTCAAAGCCGGTTGGAACTTGTTACAAGCGCCGATCGGCGTCGATAAATTTTTAATTCTTCGTCGCTGGTTATCGGTGTCGGACGTCGAGTAATTAATTGCAGCGAATATAGCAAGAAACACATTGTGGGACAAACGACTCAAGTCCCACACTAACAGGAATATAGTCGGGAATTTATGAAAAGAAATTTCCAATAAAATGGGAATTCAGTTTATTTTGCTTTAATTTTTTTTTTTGCTCAAATATCGTCAAATATCTCAAAACATGCAAAACACCAAAAAGATTATCGTCTGTTGTTTCGTGCGTTGCATTCTAGAGATCAATAAAATATCTTTGTCTGAAGATGACTCAGACACCGTAGTATGGAAGTTGCTTTTAAACTGGCTGAAAACCAGCGTTCATTGTTTAGTACTGAGATGACTTGTAAGCGCTGGTTTTCGGCTTAGGAAATAGGCGTTGATTAACCTGTTTTCTTTGTGTGCGTACCCAAAGACTGTCTGTCTATAGTCATGCGCCAATCTTCGTCTGACGTATGTAGTATTGGAGATATACTATCTGCTATTAAGTTAAACTAGAACTTATTTTTATATATTTTATTACATTTTTATAAAGTGTGACAAACGTTTTTCATTAGTTGTCCAGTTGTCAACCACTTAACATCAACAACTAAAAACCATAGTGTGCTGCGTATATTCAACACTCCTAGTCGATTTAAAATTTTAAACAGAAAATTAAAATAAAATGATACAATATTAAAATCAACTATAAAAAATTAAATTTTTTTCTTTACATAATGCTTTTGTAAAAAACATCTGTTCCACTATAAAGTAACCGTTGGAAACCTACGTTTTAGAAGGACATTTGCTTAACTCATACACTGAACAATGAAGTGCTTCTCCCCACGGAAAAGTAGGTGTATTTGTTTCAGCTATCTTGTCCCTTATTCTTATCAAAAAACGCCTATTCATGCGTTCAGAAATGCCGTTTTTTTGTGGAGTATATTGTTGAGTATATTGAATTTCATTATTCTGCAGAAATTCCTAAACTGACTAGTGTAAAATCACCTCCATTATCGACTTTTATTCTTTTGGTTTTGCGGTTATGTTGAGTTTTGATACATTATATAAAGTTTGTGATGAAGTCACTAAATTTTATTTTTAATTAATTGTAAAAATTTATATTTTAATTAATTTCCACCTGGGAACGTTTCGAAGAGCCCCCGTATTTTTGTTTCCTAAGAATTCTCGTTCTTAAACATTTGCGAGAATCCTCGTAGTTACAATATTTCCGTAAATTCAAATTAAGATTTGAACAGTCAATTTCATGTAAATTATCTAGGTCTATTCGGCCAATGTCAAAAGGACGTTTGTTTTATTTCTCTACTTGTAAATTGAATTTAATTGGAGGTGGGTTCTCCTACTCCGGAATTACTGGTGAGACATATTTAGGAAAGCTGAAACAAAATTCTGTCTCTTCTCCTGCTGTTACCGTCGCTCTCAGCTACCGTCCACGTTAGAGAATTTTGATAGTGCCAAAAGTCGACTTTAGTTTTCCGTATTACCACCCCGAAACACAAGGTAGGTGCTTTTATTTTATAATCGTTTTACCAGTTAGCTTGGTCGTAGAAAAAATTAACTCTTGAATTGTCTAATCGGTATTTACAATCAAATGTAATTGAATGTTTCGTCAAAGCAAAATTGAACAGGTGCGTGACAGTACTACCTTCAGGACCGAAACCGGGACTCCATAAGAAGTTTACTAAAACAAGTGTTTGGAAAGTAAAACAAACTAAACACCGGGATAGTACATTATCCCTGAATGAAGTGATCGTAGTCACGAGCCTTTTCCTACAGGGAATGATACTATTTAAGTTCACTTAAAATAACGAAGACTTACGCAAACGAGTGTTTCAGATGTAAAATAAACTAATGACCGGAATAGCACATTATCCCTGAATGAAGTGATCGTAATCACGAGACGTTTCAGACAGGGGAATGGTACTATTTAAATTCGCATAAATTTGTGGTTCGGAGTATAAAATAAAAGAAAATGTCTCGTCGCAATTCTATTAATCAAAATATTAGACAATTCCCAAACAGTTCCGACCAATTATTTATTGGTTAAAGCTTTAAATAAACTAAAGAGAAATTCCAAAAAAAAAAAACGGTTCTTCCTAACAAAAATAAATTCAAGGTATTTATTAATTAAGTAAAATTTAATTCCGGCCTCATAACTAATAATTTTATTATTTGGAAAGTTCTAAATGTTTCCTACTAACTTTGATTCTATTCCCGGTCCAACTAAACAGAAATAACTTAAAGTATTTCTTAATCAAAACAAGTTTCAATTCTCAACTCAACACGGATTAATATTAATTAAAAATAAATCAAAATAAAACGGTTTCCAATAGCACGGCTTAAAATCTCGAGCGAGAAAAAAAAATCAATTTATAAAAACAATGACAACAATTTACCTATCGTCAAGATCGCGGCTAGAAATGTATATCGGTTTAAAATTGTAACTCCCGCGAGCAATATCGGAATCGTGGATTTCGGTGTCTAAATAATTTTTCTATTTTCGACTGTTCGATAAATCGGTCTATTAGGAATCGAATTCTTATTTGAATGCCGGACCTCGTTCCGTCGTCGATCGTCATACCAATAACAGAAACCCCACCATTGCGATTCGTGCACGCGGAGTATTTGGACGATTTGTTCTCAATTGCGACAAACTGATATAAAGGGTATATCCACAAAGTTAAAATTAAGTAAAAATCGACATTTATGCCCGGAATCAGTTAAAAAAATTATTAACGAAAATTGACTTCATTACAAGGTGAGTTCGGGCTACGCACTCTTTTCACTATATTCACTCCTAAAGTACCTAAGGCGTTCGGGTACGGAAGGAGTTAAAATAAAAGTTCCTCTTTGACCGTTCGAAGATCGTGGAGTGGAGTGTGGATCAGGCATGCGCATAAGGTGATTTAAATCGATAATAAGATAATTGTGACTAATTCTTAAGTAAAAATGCTTTTTATTTGATTCCAGTGCATACCATTAATATGGAAGAAACTTATACGGTTGTTACCGATAAGTACGGTTAGGTTGTATTAGTATATCACATTGACAACTGACATTGAACTCCGAGAGTACAAGGAGTAAAACCATATGCGCACTCCGTTTACGCCTACTTACTCCAATCCACTCTGGAGTGCGCTGCCCGAACTCACCTACAGTATCCGTTAAACACGTTGTTAATAGCCGGAGAACGTTAGTTCATTTTCAAATTATTTCACTTTATTTCTTTTGGGAAACTGCTGGTATTTTTTTTTGAGATTCGGTTGACAAGTCCTTCAAGTGCATCACAGTTCCACTGTTCATCCAATTTCCTTAATAAGACGACCAAGTCAAAACTGCATTTAGAAATTTTTACCAGTCGGCAATTTTTTTTATTTTTTATAAAGTTTCAGATTTTCAGGTAGCACAGAGAAAAAAAAATATTGCTTAAAATTGAAGCACCCTAGGAGATATACTATGAGGACGCTATTCAGTTATACCAAAATTTATTTTTATATATTGTTTTATATTTTATGCATGTTCCTACTATACCTTATAAGTCAGTGGCGGCTCGTATCTTAGTACATAGGTGGAGCCACGGATTAACATTTTCGGGTGCCTAGCCCAGATTTTGACTCGAAGTCGTTAAAAAGCGTATCTTGGGTAATATTTTAAAGTATATTAACGTGCGCATTTATCATTTTTACAAAACAATAAATAACATAAAAAACTTACCAGAATTTAGCTTTGAAAAGTAATTTATTGCACTCCAAATCTATACAGTAAAATAAAGAATATTTTTCATTGAACGATATTTGAAGTCTAGTTTTCGTTCTGTTTTATTAGCGAAAAGGTCAATCACTCGTCTATTAAAGTCGTCAATGTTATTTAGAAACACTTTTTCAGCTGATAACATTCCTAGCGCACTTAGTCTTCCTTCTTTCATTGAGTTGCGTAAAAAAGTTTTTATCCTCTTTGACATAGATAAACATCTTTCAGCTTCGGATGTTGACATAGGTGTTGTTACTAAAACTTCCAGTAATATCTTGAAAAGTGTACTTCATATATTCCTGCGAAACTAATGATAACAGAGGAATGGCTCCAGAAATGGGTTGCACTCTTCTCTTTCGAAAAGTACTTGCCAGACAATTTTTTTCTAAAAATTGATATGCGTTAATTGTATCAGAGAGTAATTGATCAGGAAAGTTTTTTTGGTATTCGATTAAATGTTTTTCCATAAATAATTCGGTAGCTATCAGATGTCCTGTGAAAGTGAATCGGGTCCTAATCTGTTGTATAATGAAATCGCAAATTTCCAAGGCTTCTATTTTTCTATTTGTTGAAACAGATAGATCGGAACGAGGGCAACGTCGCCTTTTCTGAGGAACAAGTTCATCTTCGGTTTCTAAAGTCTATTTTGTCAATAATTTTATCCATTTCATTACGAACTTTTTGCATTGCATTTTCAATGTTTTTTAGATCTTGTTTAGCCTTGATAAGGTCGGTATTAATCATCTGCAGTTGCTTAAAAATTATTTCGACATGTAGCAGACTTTATGAAAAACTGTTAACCAAAATATGATATCTCTGTTCTGTTATCTAAGTTTATAAGCACCGGCTTGCTCAATCGTAAAATTTAATTTAATATCTTTGTCGTTCTTTAAAAATCCATTACGTGTATCAGTTCATTTCGGTATTCATAAACTGTATTAACTCCCCGTGATTGGAAATTCCATCTCGTTTGTGATGAGCGTGGTAATCGTCTATGAACTATATTATCCAATACTTTTGTTCTTAGAGGTGATGTAGAAAAAAAGCACAAATTCCAGTTAAATGAGCGAAAAAAATCCGAAAAGACGCATTAATTGAACCTGCACTGCTTATTATAAGGTTAATCTGATGTGCATAGCAATGAACATAATTTGCTAAAGAATATTTATCTTTAATTATATGTTGTACCCCATTCATACCTCCGCTCATGACTGACGCTTCTTCGTAACTATGCGCGATCTACTTATTTGGTGTGTCATTAATTAATGGAATAATTTCATTTAAAATGCAATTTGCTATTGAAATGGCATTGTGTCCGGGAGGATTTACAAATTACCAAAATCTTTCTGCTGGCTTACTGGAGGCAATATATCGTAGAATAATGACCAATTGAAATTCGTTAGCAACATCGGTAGTTTCGTCAGCATTTACAGCTACATAATTCGTTTTTTTTATTTCATTAGCTACTTCTTCATGGTAAACGCCAAACATGCAGTCCAATAGTTCGTTCTGTATGGTCTTAGAGATCCCTTAAAATACTGTTTCCTTGGAACATTTCAATTCCTTTAAATCTGCATCTAATTCAGAACTAAAATCTATCAATTCTCGAAACACTCCTTTATTTCTGGATTCTTCGGTTTCATCATGTCGGCGCAATGCTAATTATAATGTACCACAAAATCTTATGCAGTTAATAATGATGTTTAAAATATATGTGTTTTTATCAACTTGTTTATTGTGGGTAATAATATTTTGTCTATAAGCCGAATTTAATTGATGGATTTTTTCTTCGAGCGAGTGCGTAGAAAAAGGTTTCAGTAACAGATTGCATATTTTATTCATTTTGCTTCGGACTCTCGGACAATTTTTAATTTATTATACTTTAAAAACTCAACTATTCTAACTAACTACCTAACAAACAAAAATGTCAAAATAAATACGCCGAACTCGCCGAACACGCGATTGAAACAATACTATTCTAAGTATTCATTCCGAGCCGCTTGAAACGTGGCCCTGTTTGAATGTATAAGAAGCGCTTTCTACAGGCGAATGGCGTGACCTTTAGTAAACTTTTACAATGGATTGATATGTAAGCAGCCGGGCCACTGGTCGATATGCTCGGATAGATGGCGGATAGTCAATTGCTTGCATTATTAAATTTGTTATGTCTAGGAATAATACGATGCAAGTTTTTTCAACGGGATCAAATTAAATAATGATAAATAATTTATATAATGTATCGTTTAGTCATTATTTGATCCGACAATTGTAATAATTATTGTAATTAATATAAAAAGAAATATTTTTAGAGACCAAAATATTTACAAATTTTGTGCAAGTGCCAAGGCCCTTTGGCCCCTTAGGACAAGCCGCCATTGTTATAAGGTATATCTGTAAGGTATATCTGTAAGGTATATCTGTAAGGTATATCTGTAAGGTATATCTGTAAGGAATATCCCCCATTTTAAATTTTCCTTATCTGTGTAGTAGGTACACTTACGTGGCAGATCATTTACAACGGCAGCCTCATTTGAATTCGTTCCGATTATAATTGGCACTTGATTAAATCGACCTTCTGATAATATTTGATCGCTGTAGGACTCAAAGAAAGCATCTTTGTGTGGCGGTTCGATAACAGGGCTGAACATCAGACCAGCAAGCGGCTTTTTTAGGATAACCTGCAAAAAAAATATAAAAAGCTATTCTCTAAACCCAGCCACTCTCCACATACAAGTTTTTAAAATCTTTCGACTTCCAATAACTAAAATTACTATAATGAGATTGAAGTGCTAAAGCGTTCCTAAATACTGCTTGATACCTAACTCTTTAATAAATTGATTAAAATTTAATTAAAAGAGAAAATAATGTGACTTAAACATAAAATGAAATAAAGAGAAATAAATTCTCGCAGCTATGTTACAAAATAATATCAACGACCGTTTTCCTTCTACTTTGTCTAATACCGTAACAGGCATTGAATGATAAATAAATAAAAATAGCAGATATATAAATTATTTTCCATCTAGCTTGATTTTGCTTACTAAGGTGTATGTCATTCCTGGGCTGGTTTCGTCGTTATTAGAACTCATCAGCAAGAAAAAGATATTCTCGATCTTAATCTCTAATGGAATCTATAATTGCGTTAAATTTACTTATACGGATGGTGCTTGTGTGAGAATAAGTAGTCATAACGTAATGCCATCTACACTTAATTAGCAAAATCAAAGTTCAAAAACTGGATGGACCAAAAGTCAGTCGAATAATTTAAAAAAATATTATAATTTAAATTAACTTTTTTCTGAAAATGTAGTCACATGTTCATTTTACAGTGGGTACATATTATGAGAATAAGTCTGTAAATTGAGAATTGAATGGGAAGTCTTGAATCCCACAGGTTGAATCTGAAAAAAACTAGGAAATTAACATTAGGATCTTTTAATTTCGAGTTTGACACCTGAAATTTTAACCTAGTACGGTCGACCAAAATATTCTAATTTTATTATGCTCTTTTCACACTTTATAGCAAATTTTCTCTTCTTTCATCCAAACTTTATCTTTTTTCTGTATTTCTTCTAGTTTCCCTGAAACTAGTGATTTTATAATACAGCACACAGAAAATTAAAAAAAAACTAAACTCGCTTTATCGCATTAAGTTGAAAGAAATGCAAAAAACGTACGTCCACTATAAATTTTCGTGACGTAACAAAATAATGAGAGATTTACACGTAGATATTAAATAACTACAATTGACACAATACAGGCATTTCATTGGCTGCCTTTGCTATACGTCATGCCCTCGTAGTCAAATTGAAATCTTGAACACGCTCTTTAGCTATTTTTTATAAACGTCAAAGTGTACGTCTGACAGTTTTTATCAGACCAGTACTTTCATTAGTTCAATTCGTAATTATTGTAGTTAATCCCATTTTTAAGAAGTTGGGATATTATTTTTTATTTATTTTTATAATTATAAACATGCCGAGGTATAGCGAAAAAGAGCAAGCGATTGTATTAAAACTGCTTGTTTATTTCCAATTAGAAAAACAAGCTGGTAAAACTCTATTGCCCGTAAATGCTGTACATGAAGTAAGTTTCACATTTTAAACTTTAGTAAACATTCACTGATGATCAATTCATTTTAGCGTGTTCAAGCAGATCGTGAATACTCAGCTAAAATGTCCGATTCTGTGAGCGTTAGCCGTGGTCCCAATATTTGGGAGAAATATGAACATGGCATCAAGACTTGTATATACAGAATGTTTAGTCAAGGTTGGTATTTACTAAATACATATTTTTCAAGTATAAGGTTCTAAATATCTTCATCAATGTTATTATGTTTCCATTTCACACACAAATTTGTTTACTGGTTCATTATGAGTTTATTTTCAAGGGTTAGTTTTAATACTTTTTTTTGTAACATTTTTTCTTATTATAGGTGAGCATACGTTGAAGAAAAAATTAGAAGATGTATATGGGATAAGCTGTAACATTTCTAACAGAAAATATTTCATGGAACAGTCACATGTTACACGAAAAAGATTGTTTTTTACGAGATTAAAAAAAAAATGAAAGTTATTCTCATCGTCTCAAGCCTGTATATCTTGATGAAACTTGGATATTCAGCCAAGGAGGATTTCGCAAAAGCTGGCAGGATGCTACCGATAAGGCAGTCAGAAAGAATAGTGGTGAAGGTGTACGATACATTGTTCTTCATGCGGGTTCTGAAAATGGGTTTATTAATGACTGTAGTTTGATATTTAAAAGTGGTAGTAAATCTAGCGATTATCATAATTCAATTAATGCTGATAATTTTGAAAGATGGTTTCAATATCAGCTTCTACCAAGCTTAGAAGTTCAATATCAGCTTCTACCAAGCTTAGAAGAACCGTCATTAATAATAATGGACAATGCGTCGTACCATTCAACGTTGTTCGAAAGAATATCAAATGCAAGTTATAACAAAGTTTCTCTGATTAATTGGTTAAAAGAAAGGAATATACCGTTTCCAATGCCTAGTATGAAGTTAGAATTGTTAGAAATTGCCAAGAAACATATACCAGATAAAGTATACAGGTATGTTATGATATGATATAATTTAATAAGATATTAAAAATGCATAATTTACAGATTAGCTCTTTTGCATGTGTATCGTGTGTTGAGACTGTCTCCATATCATTGCCAGTTCAATCCAATTGAACTTGTTTGGTCTGAGTGTAAACGGTATTACGATGCAAAAATAACTTCGGCACAACGTAATACTGCAGATACTGTAATTAGTGTTTGGAACGAATCTCTTCAACAGGTTTAATGCAAAGTTTTTTCTTATGCTATGGTTTATAATTGTTATGTAATTGTAGATTACACCAGAAAAATGGAAGAGGTATGTAGACCATACAAGAAAAATTATTGATGAATATTGGGAGACTGCAAAAATCATTGATGCAAGTAATATCTCTCCTGTAATCATTGATTTAAACGAATCGGATAACGAATCAGATTGGGACAAAAATGGCTGTTGTTCTACAAGTTTAACGTTACCAGTTTTGTTAAATTTCAATGATTTCATAGGCGCCGGAATTTAAAAATCGCTTTGGGTGCCCGGCTTCTATGCGGAAAATGGGGGTTATCCCCCCCACCCTCCACAACTCACTTAAAGGTACCACCAGTTTTTTAAAAAGCTATTTTAAAGTTGATTTTATGAAAATTTTCTTCAAAACAAAAAAGGTATTGTCAAATGGCAATTGCTGGATAGGCTGGAGGCTCCCACCTAAAACGGGATATCTGGCAACCCTATATGCTCGGTGCAGCCACCACTGGTATTTTGAAGGTATTTTTAAATAGATTATAACCCCCAAATTTTAAATCGCCACTGTCTTCCTAGCCATTATCTTTTAACGATTTTTATTTTCTGTAAAAGCCTACCAGTTAATCGAGTAAATGCTAGAAATGCTGATTCTGGGCCTCCATAGAGGTTTTGTTCAAAATGCTATCGGACATTTTGAAGCATCTATGGGGTTATTTGATGACATTCATCAATTATCCGTCGTTGTCGCAGATTTTCCAGTGATGTTGGCTGGGTGGCATAAATTTTAGTTTTTAAGTAGCCCCATAAAAAATCCAACGGGCTTAGATCCAGAGACTGTGGAGGCTACTCAATACTTCATCTTCTTCCGATCCTGGAAACCTGGAAACGTTTGATCCAAATACTGACGAACAGTGGTGCACCGTCATGGTGGAATATTAAGTTGTTTGCTATGTGCTGATCATTTTCAATCAACTCTAGTAATGCTGGATAAATAGCGTTTAAAGTTTCTGGTAAAAATGGGGCCCATTATACGGTTACCAAAAATTATAGCCCATACATTCATTTTTTCCGGATGTTGCGTATGTACTTCATGAAATATTCTGGGATTTGAATCAAACCAATGACGACAGTTGTGACGATTTACCGTACCATTTAGGAAAAAAGTGCATTGTCTGAGTAACACACATTGACAAGAAATTGCTGATCATTTAATACCCGTTCAGTCATAATTTCACAAAATTGTAATCGTCTATCAAAATCGTCTTCATTAAGTTCTTTTACCAGATGTATTTTGTAGGAATAAAACTTTTAATATCTTCTGAATACTACGTCTCTCAATACCAGATGTTATCGCCAACTGTCTTGTACTCAATATGGGTTCATGAACAACATGTCCTAAAATCGCCACTCTGTAGCTTCATTTACTACAGAATTTTCCATTTCACGTTATTTGTTAGCTACTGACCCCGTTTTCCAAAATGTTAGGACTAACTCCAAAATGTAATTTCGATAAGAATAATTGAGAGCCACAGGAATAAAAGTAAAATTGTTACAAAGAATTCCTTTTTTTTTGTAATAACAATGTAAAAATTATGTTAAACCGGTTTTGTACTTTTGGTGAGCCACTGTATGGGCTACATAGATAGTAGCGATGTAAAACTCGGGGGTTATTATCTAGGTAAAAATACCTTCAAAATAACATATCATTCGACCAATCTTTCCATTTAAGATATAACTGGTGAGTCTCACCCCCGATAGAGGGTTTTCGCTTAGGGGGTGCAACTGCCAACAATGTTCCCCCGTAAAAAACAAAATTGACTGGTCCAAACGTTTTTAAGTAGATGACCTGGTTTCTCGCCAGCAATACTAGAGAGCTATTTCTAACTCTAAATGAACGTTTTTTTCTAACGGTGCTTGATCAGGAGCAACTTTCAAATGTTCTCCATTTTCCCCTTAAGCATTTGCTCAATGGCATATGTACAAAGATCTTATCTTGATAATTGTAGACCGTTAATAATCTTTATTTTTTGACGTCATAGGGTTTTATACACCAAAAATAATAAACCCTTAAGTTCAACGCGTTGTCTATGACAAGTTACGGCGACTTTTTTATCACAAAAAATATAGCTCCGAACGATATTTTATTGAGGCATCTGACGCTATACCAACTTGGGCCACGACAGCTTCTTCATTTCACTTTTTGTCCTCGTTGTGCTCTGGGTGCTTCGCACCGAGTTTAAAACTGCTCTGGGTGCTTGCGCACCCGGAGCCCCGGGGATTCGGCGCCTATGAATGATTTTCAAGGTAATTAGTTTATCGAATAAAACTTATGTGATTTTTTTAAACAGATCTAATTTCTTATTGTAATAGTATGAGAGACCACTGCAAATTTCGACCGTCATCTGATAACGAAATGAAATATACTCCAAAAGCATGTAACAACATTGTAGTTTACCAAATTGCACCTGTGCCAATCCCTAACCTGAGCAAAGTGGTTAAAAAAAATTATTTTATATTCAAAAAATCACATAAAACATGACAGCGACAATTATATTTTCCCTGAAAATTACAATCCTAATTCATTGTGAACCTAGCTTTTAAACCTGAATTATTAATATTTTTACCTACCTTTTAAACCATGTTTATGTATGAAAGGAAGAAGGATGGCATTGTATAAACCATTTGCAGAGATAGTAAATAATAATTATAAAATCTTTTTAGACAATTATTTTAAACCATAATCATAGTAGTTTTTTTGTCGTTTCTATGGCAACCTGTGAAAATGAATCACAACAATAGGCATACAAATAAATGTTTAAATCAGCGAACATTGATTCATATTTTTAATGATATTTACCTACTAATCGTGGATAGATGTTTTTGTGCGATGTTAAGAGGAAGAAAATGTTTCCCTTTAACGATATATATCGAGATATATTTAAATAATATTTTCTGGAAAACTTTAAGGGCAAACAAAATTAGCGCTGTCATGCCTTATGTGATTTTTTTAATATAAAATAATTTTTTTAAGCCACTTTGCTCAGGATTGGGATTGGCACAGGTGCCATTTAGTAAAGTACAATATTTTTCCATGCTTTTGGGGTATATTTCATTTCGTTATCAGATGACGGTAAAAATTTGCAGTGGGCTCTTGGGCTATAAGTTTCATCCGGCAAGTGATCCTTGTTGTCTTATAATAACTAATTTTAGGAATTTATTTACTAATGTTATATTATTTATGATAATAAATATCAATTAAAAATACATTTTTGTTTTATTTTGTAATGTTTTGATATCACAATTCTTATTAATTTCAAAGCCTTTTACTAATTGGCTAAAGACGATCCTGACAACTGTCAAAATTTTGTAGAATCGCCATCAAATTTCATGTAGTAATCAAAGACATGCCGAAAACAGATATTACGTCATATTTGGTGACGTGCAACTGAAAGGCTATGCAATGAACTTTACTAAAATAAACATTAACACCTTGTCCGATTATTATTAAAAATATATACGAAATTTTAAAAAATCCTCTAGCGCTAAGTTACTATTTCATTGCTTTCTCAACTTACTCCTACTCCCGTTACCAATCCAACTTTCTGCAATTGCTTATACGGCACTTTTTTAAGTTCTCTTATAATTGTCTCTGTATTATTAGTGTTCACTTTTAGTCCCAATCCTGTTTGGTATGCTATATAACTGGCATTCCTAGTCAGTGCCCATAAACACAGAGAATTTCCACTTTGAAGAATTGCTGCTCGATACAAACCTGTGAATAATTAGAAAATATATTATCAAGCTGTGAAGTGAACATAAAAGTGACCGAATATTATGAGTCTGTAAATTAGATAGAAAGTCTTTAAAAATTTTTGAATGTCCGAACGTTTTTAGAACATAATATAGTAGTTTGTGCAACAAGAGTGGATATGGGCAATCCACTCGAGTTGTACAGTATATTTTTTCTACGACCCACTAAGAAAAATCTACAAATTTAATAAATTATTTTAGGTTTTTAAGACAAAATTACTAATTTTAAATTAATTTATGAATTTTACTAATTTGCAAAATAAAATAAACATGATTTAATTTAATTGAATCGGTCATTCACTTTTTGGCGATTTTATATTCAGCATGCTTAGAGGCATCATTTCAAGATGAAAACGGGTCATCTTTCAAAATTCTTACCGCCTATTCACAACACACAAAAATCAGTTCATTTTGAAAACGGGTTATCTCTCCAGGAGATAACCCCTTCTCAAAATGAATCGTGCTTTGTCCCCCACCACCAACGTTTTATTAGGTATTATGGATATTTTAGACGTGTTTAGAGACTGTTTACGTGTCGCGTGACAAAATGCCATCTAGTAGTGAAAGTAGTGAGGCAATCTAACCTCTTCCCAAACGGAAGAAAGGTGTTAAAAATTCAAACAGTTATAAGCAAATTTCGATTAAAAAACGCAAAAGTTACTGGAAAAGAACACTTTAATCATGTGAACAAACTCTGTAGGAAAATTGAAGACCTAATAATTTCTTCATCTATAAGCAATAAATTCGACGTTAAACATGTTACTCACGTAGATGTAGCTAGTTTCAAACAATGGTGGCCGGATTTCTTTAAGAAGAAAGTGTTGTCTACACGAAGTCTTGGCAGACAAGTTCCAAAAGAAGACAAGGTTAATTTCACTATCAACTCCTTCTACGAGTTCAGCTTTAAAATTTGGGTGTCATCTTTGCAAAACCATATATTGGCAGCTTTGTTGAGGAACGTTTCCTTCTTTTAAAAACTCTACAAAGAAGCATTCCGACAATAATGGTGCCCGATCCTCAGAATTTTCCTGCCTATCAAGGCAAAATTCCGATAAATGTTAAGAAAATTGAGGATATAAAGAAGCTTCAGCAATATATTCTAGATAAATACAAGGAATTTTACACCACTATCTGCGAATGGCCTACTACCTCCGCTAAAGAAACGGAGGAAAATTAAAGAAGATCTTATTTTTTGTAATAAAATGTATTTTATACCACTTTGTTGTTTAAAATAAACAATATTTATATTCTATTTTGATTTTAAATACTTGTTCATTTTGAAAACGGGACATCTCTTTTTCAAAAAATGTCAATTTTTAGCCTCTTTTAAAATACAAATCATGTTTTTTAATAATTCATGGTCATAAAAGTTCATGTTTAAAGCAAACAATACCTTACAAAAATTTATTTTCAAATAGTATTAAAGATTAAAGGTTTTTTTATTTCTCCTGTAAAATTTTAAAAAGTGGATGTGACGCCTTTTCAAAATGACCGATTCAATTAGTCCCCAGTCCAGATTCGAACACGGGCTTTTCGAGTGGAAGGCAGATGATCTGTCCCACTTTTAGGATTTTAGTTTTAAATTAAATATTAATTCTAATGCATAGGTAGGATTCCCCACTCGACCATTCACTGTTGGGTTCTAATTAACAGTGCTGTTCCTGAAGTGGCGCTGGGAAACAGTAACAAAGCCTACACAGAACACGAGGCTAATGGCCGTAGCAGTCGACGCCGATGACACCAAATTTAAAAAAAAAAAAATACTCTTAAATAAATTAATTTTATAGTTTGATTAAAATTTATTTTTTTTTTCAAAATGTGGACCAAATACAAATGCTATTATTTATCGATTCTCAATAGCTAAAAAATATACTGACAATTAATTTGACAGAATTGTCATTTGTTTAAAATTTTAAAAATAATAGTATTTGGGAGTCCAAAACATGAACTGTGATTGGTGGATTTAAATTTTTTGCAGTGTTGGATGTGAATGACCGCAATAGCATACTTTTTCGTTTTGTAGTCTGCGTAGATATGCTAATATCCATGTGGATGTAGAAAAACATTTTTGAATGGTGTACATATTGGACACTGGCCAAATTTCAATAATAAAACTTCGTTAATGGTTTTTGAGTCTACCCAACAGGGCCGTACTGATCATCATAATCGTGTGTTTTCATAGACTTATCAAAGGCATTTAACATAGTTAGCCATGCTTTGCTCCTTGAGTTACTTGAAAAATATTGGTGTAAGAGGTAAAGCACTGAAATTTTTTAAAAGCTATTTATCTAATAGACGTCAGCGTGTTCAAATTGATAATACACAGAGTAATTTAAGGGATGTGGAGTATGGGGTACCGCAGGGCACAGTGCTGGGTCCTATATTATTCAACATCTATTTAAACAATTTATTTTTTATAAAAAGTGCAGGCAACATTATTACATACGCTGATGATACGGTAATTTTATATACAGATAACACATGGAAAGATTTGAAGCTAAAAGTCGAAAAAGAACTTCAATTAATTAAATCCTGGTTTGAAAACCGCCTTCTAACAATAAATGAAAGTAAAACATTTTTTTACTCATCTCTGCTAACATATCTGGTCTTCCAACATACAGTAATCTTACTGTTACTGATGACTTTCAAATAAAAGTAACATATAAATTCTAATATCTACTACCCCTAGATGGATAGTCACCTTGGGTGGGACAAACATATTGAGTACCTCCTGAAAAAAATACGTTATCTTATCTATAAATTTAACAGCCTAAAGAATATAATTAACTTTACCCAGCTAAAAACGGTTTATTATGCGCTTGTTGAATCTCATATTATATATGGAATAGTAGCCTGGGGCGCTGTTAAAACAACTCATCTAAATAATCTTATAATCTGTCAAAAGAGACTTTTAAAAATTTTATTTAAAAAGGTTATAGTCCAATTAAATAACGAAAAAAAGCCCCTTCGAGCTTACATTAATTTGTAATTGGATGAAACAAAAAGGACCTTGTGTATTTTGATGTGATCTTTCCGAAAAAAAGAAAAAAAAGATGTAGCAGTTTTTCAATTTTTTTTAAATTAGGAAAAACCGGGTTTTCCGGAATTTTCCATTGTAAAAATGCTAATTATCTGGGCAAGTATCATTCCGATAGTGAAAATAAATGCACCATTCGAAAGAAGAGGCAAAAATAGTTCGGAAATTCATTGCACAGGTAGTTTTAATGGCGAATTTCTCGCCGCCAGAAGTGCTTTTACCAAAAAGTCGTTTTTTCGTTTTTTTGATCAGAACCATGGACATGAAATTTGCGATGAATTTGTGACGAAATTATAAATGTTAGACATGAGAGAAGTTGCGTATTTTTTTGTTGGCTCTCAAATAAAAGTCCCGCGGCGAAATCTGCCATAATTTTTCGGGAATTCGCAGGAAACCGGAAGGCGTAGTTTTTTTTAATTTTTTTCCCATATGATTTTTTCCGGGTTTTCCGAAAATATCTAACAAAAAAAAATATTTGAAAAATCTAACTTCGCCATCGAAAAAGCACAAAAAAATACACAAAAAGGTATACTTTAAAAATCTTAGGAAATTAATCCTAAGCCTGAGTGTAACTTCCAACTTGGTGATAAGCTTGCTTTTTGTTCACTAATATCTGGTTTTTAGTTATTTACAAGAAAACTTGGGAGAAGATATATATGCATGACAAAAATACGTATTTTCTAGTTACGTTCCGAACTTTTGGAAAAAAATTGCAAAACAATTTTTTCTTAATTTCTCGTACTTTTTTCTTAATTAACTCGAAAACTAATTATCTGAATAGAAAACTGTTTCCATCAGATGATAGAGAAAAAAAAAAGAGACGAAAAACTGTGGCATATACATTTTTCTAGCATCCACTGTTTTCTGAGCGCACGTGTGCAAAGATCGGTAATTCTCGCGAGAATTGAAGCTACTCGAATTTTCTGGAAATTGGGAGAGAAAGTAAGCTTGTTTCTCATTAAACTTACTGATTCTAATATATTTTCATTCTGTAAAGTGCCCAAATTACGGAAAAAATCGACAGTGTGCTTGTTTTTTCTCAAAAAAGGGAAAATGTTGAATTTAAGAAAAAACCACTCGTTTTATGAGCAATTTTCTAAGCACAAAAAATGCGTAGTTTTCGGTTATATTTCGAATGGCATAGGTCGCATTGCAAATCTGCAATAGTTCACCCTCTGCAAGTGTCTGATGACATAATAAACACAGGCCAGCCATTGCAACCTGGAAACAAAAAAATTATAGCACTGTGATAGAATTTTCTTAATTTAGGAACGTACTTAATCAATAAATTGCTGAAGAAGTTCGAAAAGCCACGTGTACACAGAGCTTGCTGAACACGGTTATTAAAAATCTATGCCGATGAACACTATCAAGCGATTCAATTTGTAAAAATATGACCGTTTGAAGTTTAAACTTGTCAGATAGCGAACGCCGAGACCATTACTATCCTTGATGCGACGTGCGGCTAATTTGGCGGTAATTCTATATTTTGAACAAAACTCAAGAATCGTCTTATAACAAGTCATTAAAATACAATTTAATAAATTTTAATCCTAATAAATTTAGATATGTAAGAAATTTAAAACTGGAAATCGCAAAAAATCAAATTACAGTAATGTAGTGTATACACGAGTTTTGGATCCCGCGGAGCGCGTGTAATGGGACTTTTGTCGGGAGAATTCTACAACTTAGAAGAAACATACACACTTTAAACTTTGTATACACATTTAGAAGACATGAAATTTGGGTTTGCTTAATTTTCAGACCACAAACTAAAAATTGTCAATTTTAGGCAACTTTTCTCAAAAAAATAGATAAAATATATTTGCAGAATTTTCCGTAATGTAATCGTATTCTAGACACAATAGAGTACTCAAAAAAAAAGTTTTGAGCCATTGGGTGCATTTTTGGCATTTTTGTGCCAC